TCTATTTTTGATAGCATAAAGTACTTTAATTAAAAACTAAGTTGAAAGGAAAGTGAAAGTGCGGTGCCAGCGTGACCACTCTCTGATAACAGCTGATCGCGAGTTAACAGACCATTTCATATCCCTTAATTTTAGCTGTGTTGATTTATGAGTGTTTGTTTTAACATAATACTGAAAGAAAAAACAATGTTTTGTTTATTCTAGGAGATAGGCTGAGGTGCATCTGGGTAGACTGTCAGTCTTTTTATTATTTGAGTTTCTCTAAAGTACCAAACTAAATTATTCCATTGAAACAACACTTCAATTTAGCGTGAATTTGGTTTAAAGCAACCTTTCTTGGAACATATCTCACATTAAATCGACGTTCTACTGTACTTCCCATGGATGTGCACAGAAAACAGCAGCAAATTTCAATGAGTTGCACTCGAAATGTCAGAATTACAGGCTGACAATGAGGCAAGGGTGAATGTTGACATCTACAGGGAGTTCTGCTATAACGCGTGTTTTGATAACGCGAATTTGCTCTAACGCGATTTATGAATTTGGAACAATATTTGTATAACGCGAACGCTTGTTTGCTATAACGCGATTTTTGCTTACTATTTCTCCAATTTTGTGGTATTAACTGTGAATATGGTAAAGAAGAATATCTCCAAAAAGCGCTCTGATGATAGAATTCCCGGTGATTATCGTAAAAGAAAGGATATAACACTTGAAGAGAAGCTCAATGTTATCAACCTCAAAATCACCCTTCTCCCCCATCAAGTTACATTCATATTTTTTCAAGGTAAAGTGTTAAATTTACTGTATGATTTCATTATTAGATATGAATGTAACATTTATTTAGACTGTGCTATCCTTTGTGTTAGGCTAAATACTAAATTTTTTCGATTTCGAGTAATCTGCACCTAACCCTATTTTCTCCATAAGCCCTGTTATTTCTATTACGCGATTTTCTATAACACGATATTTTACAAGAACACAATTATCGCGTTATAGCAGAACTACCTGTATGATGATGTAGCAAAGTTTGGGATTACTGTACTTTAGCAGAGACATTCAGCTGTTAAAAATCGAGCTATCAACGTTCTGGTATAAAAAATGATTACTGTAACCGTATATCATCAAATTTCTACTTAGAAAATTGTGTGCTTTGTTGCTTAACCTCATATACCCCAGGTATAGAAAATGAATCAAATGATGACATACACATGTCACATGAAATATGACACAGCGTATGTTGTTTAACAACATAATGAACGAGTTGATGGTTCTGGGTAAACATAATAAATACATTCTGCCACTTTTTTACAGTTATACAGTATATATAATTTGTAATCAAAGTTTAAAGTCCTGCTATAATAGTCGAGATATGCGAGATAGGCTATACTGGGTAAATTTTAAGTTTTGGTCATCCCTGTACTTAGACATGCAGACTATGTTTTGTTTTTTTCAGATGGTATGTGATGTGTTATGAACGATTTAGAACTTCATTTCTATCGGAACTCACTAGTTTTGAGTTACTACCTTCCCTTACTGATGTATGTTAAGCTAACCATGTAACTCATCATACCATAACCTAACCTAACATATGATCTGTATTTTCTTAAGCGATAGAAAAATGTTTTGCGACAAATCCCGTAGAGATAATGTGTCTTATTGTTTAAAGTACTTAATCCCATAGTTAGAATCTTAAGGTTCCCCAGGTGACCAAAACCAAAATAATATCAATATTGTTTGGAATGTTTATATACTATGAAATTTGTTGTATGGGCAGCTAATATCCATTGAATTAGTTTATGTGCTTAGTTATATTTATATATTCAAAATAGTATTACTGTGTTGCACAATAAAGCACAATTAAATATCTAATAATATTTATTTACCGAGCCGATCAGCCGAGAAGGTTGGACAACTACAGCTGGCTGCCTCCCGCTGGGAAGCTCGCCCCAACCAGTGACGTCACAACCAATCATAGAGCTTTTCGCAGTCATGTGACTTTTTAGCGACTTTAACCCGTATTTTGACACTTTTAAGCCCAATTTATTTTAAAATATCATTACCATAGTGAATTTTAGCGTTTTCTTTCCCATTGACCTGCCATCTTACGAAAAAATTCTGACTGTCAACTCGTCCATTATACCCCCAATTAACAGAAAATTTATTAAATGATAATGCACACAAGTTACATATGAAATATGAGAGTTGTAACTAAGAAAACTCTATGGTAGGTTGCTTAACCACATAATTATATCCCCAGGTATAGAACACAAAATGATATAATCATGACAGAGTTATAGCCTGTTTCTGCCAGTGTTTACTTTTACAATTCTCAATTATGCAATTTATTTTCTTTATTTCTTTTTACAGTTAAAAACATGTAAAAATATGCCCATATTTATTTTACAAATATTTATATTTAATGTAATGACTCGGGGTCGCATTGGAAAATGCTTGGGAACCCCTGACATAGACAAAGGTTTTCAGGCTGGTACATTTTACAAGGATTTCTCTTAAGCATTCAGCAAAGTTCCAAATTCAACCCAAGAAAATGTAAGCTTACTCTATCATGGACCACATATTTTACCTAAATACAGTGGTCCCTCGGTTAACGAACACAATTCGTTCCAGAAGGTCGTTCGTTAACTGAAAATTTTGTTAACCAAATCCATGGTTTCAATGGGATATTGGGTAATTGGTTCCAACTCACCGAAAAGTACATACAAAGTAAAAAAAAAAATGCAGTGAAGTACAGTCTCGGTTTACATGGATTTTTTATACGCGGTTGGTCATTTACGCAGCACCTGTCCAGATGCGCCAATTATTAGTTACGCGGTACATTCCTGAATTTACACGGGAAGCGGCGCAGGCAAGCTGCGCGCTAGGTCGCTCTTACGTCACCGCTGACGTCAGATGACGTTTCAGACTGTGATTGGGTCACGCACCTTTACCACCCACGCATCCCCTCTGCCCCGAGCTGTGAATGGTCTATTTAACCTAGCTTGCCCAGTCAACAAAACATTACCGAATTCTTCACCCGCCACAGCCAGCCCAAGTCAGTGATAGTGAGGATATGGACTTTGAGGGGTTTGACAAGGAGGCCCTGCTAGCCTCTGTGGTGGATAGTGATACAAGTGATACAGGTGAGGGTCAATAATCTGCCCTCTGCCTCGGAACCAACCCCGCCCCCCCATCCACGTATGCCCAGCCATCTCTTCTACTAACGTAAGTGTTAAAAAACCTAATATTATTGATATTTCTCTTAAATATTAAATGTGTGTGTGCATACCATCATAAAATTAAGATGTTATTTTTACTACAACGTAGGTATTGTGTCGGAAAAGGGAAGTCTGGTGGTCGGCCCAGTCTCTATTTCAATTAATCCCTTATGTTCTGTTATTTCGTTTACGCGTTATATGTGGACCTCCATGGGTTTAATTGACCGCATAAAACGAGACTATACTGTAAAGTACACTTACTTTGAGGTGTGTATGTAGAAGGTTCCTGGTTGATGATGATGATGGGAATTTGAAGTGGGGGTGGAGGAGAAGGGAGAAGAGAAGGAAGTGAGGATGGAAGAGAAATCACCTTTCATGGGACCCATGCTTGATGAAGTAATTTCACCAATAAAATTTTAAGTTCACTAGGTGTAATTCAAGTTTATTTTCTTTAAATCAACACTGCACTGTGCTATATATTATCAATATGTTAACTGAAGTTCAGAATGACCAATAATTTCAGTGAAAAATGCAAAAATATTCAAGACACCAACAAAATAGATGCTCTGTCCACTGTTTTCAAAGCCCAACTGACTCCTTGTGACCAACTCACGCATCTGATGGGCGCACAACAAACTAGTTCCCTGTACTGCATATATTATCAATATGTTAAATAAATGTTAAAATGACTAATAATTTTAATATAAAACATGCAAAAATATTAAAGAGCACAACTTTATTGATATTTACTCCATTGGAAATGAATGTAAAAATAGAACAGATTACTGTACTGAATTGGCAGACTAGCCCATCAGCTGATCAGCTGATGCTCACAACAAAACATGATTTTCGTAAGGATTTCGTGAATCAAATTTTTATTCGTTAAACGAATTGAAGATTCTTATGGAAGGTAATTCGTTAACCGAAATTTCGTTAACCGAACCGTTTGTTAACCGAGGGACCACTGTATCTGGTACTCACTGCCAGTAAATGGGAAGTGGGTGGCTGCATTTGTGCTTATTTTATATTCAATAGTTGCTGTTAGTGACTGGCATACTGCTTTTAGAACAAATTGCAAAATTATGGGAGATAATTGTTTAATAGCTCAAAATACAAGGGATAATGCTGTTATATGAGCAACATTACAATAATATTGCTCTACTGCAGTTAACCGAACCGTTCGTTGACTGAGGGACCACTTTATAATAAATAGTGGTTGAAGGACATGCATCAACGAGTGTATCTAACGCTAGTGAAATATGTTTAAGACAGAAATGAACATCACAATGATCCACCTTATGCTACACCTTGATTTTGATCTACACTAAAACCATCATTGAAATACCTTGAGCCACATTATCATATCTCTAAATTATTTTTGGAAAAGCAACAATTGAATACTGTACTTACATAACATTCATGTACAATAAATAACATGAACTACTGTATTTAACCTTTCAAATTACAACAGAAAGCAAGGTTCTTCATATGAAGCAAAACTATTCCCTGCATAATGATTCTTTTACCTTTATCCTCTTCACCACTGATCGGCTGCTTGGGTGGCCAGTGATGTCTTCCTTGATGGCCCAAGTTAATATACATGCCCAGTACTTGCTGGGCTTGTACATTAACTTGGGCCATCAAGTACACCTCAACACCTGTGTTTTAATGAACTTCCAATTTAAATATCAGTCCAGTAACATAGAAGTATGATGAGGTCTTGAGAAAATAAAATCACAAATTTAGAATTTCTGTACTTACAAAGAAAAGTAAGAACAATACCTGTGGAGAAATAACTAATTTCTTGATATTGATGAACACTCCTGGATGCAGTAATGTCTGTCCATGTTTGGTGATGTTGATTAAGATGAGAGTCTGAAGAGTTTCACAGCAAGTTGTACATACCTAAAAAGGTGAAAGGTACTTTATGTATTGTACAAAACTTTGATACCATTTTATATATATCGCTTAGCGCGATTTCACGTGTACGCGGTGCCTCGCCAGAGCTGAACTTTCACTTAACGCGGGTTTTTTCCACGTATACGCGCAGAGTGTCCGGCTCGAGAGCTATTTTTAGATTCGCCCCACCCCCCACCTGCCACCCTGCCTGCCTGCCTGTTTTAGCTCATAAAATTCATACAAATTACCCGGCCAGAATATAATTTACATTGCTGGAATTCTTACAATATGATGATCATTTTGAATACAGTATTACCCCGCTTAACGCGGTTTCGCTTAGCGCGTTTTACCGTATACGCGGTGCCTCGCCAGAGCCTAACTTTCACTTAACGCGGGTTTTTTCCACGTATACGCGGTGAGTGTCCAGCTCGAGAGCTATTTTTAGATTCGCCCCACCACCCCCACCCGCCACCCTGCCTGTTTTAGCTCATAAAATTCATACAAATTACCCGGCCAGAATATAGTTTACATTGCTGGAATTCTTACAATATGATGATCATTTTGAATATAAACATCATAGATTTTGCATAACATACAAATTTTAGATATAATGTTTACTCTGAGTAAATATGTTATTTTTTGTGCAAAATATATGACATTTATATTCAAAATATTCCTGGTCTTACAAGGAATCCAGCATTGTCAATTATATTATCCTAACTTTAGTTTGAGGTATTATTTATTACTAAAAAGGTAAATATTCTGGTTTTCCCACACATCTGGTAGGGACAAGGTTGGTGGGGGGGAGGGAGGGACCGACCGACCATCTGTTACTGTGTGAAGAATATTTTTTTTTTATTAACTGAAGATATTTGTTTTAGCTCATAAAATTCATACAGATTACCCAGTCAGAATATAATTTACATTGCTGGAATTCTTACAATTTGGTGATCATTTTGAATATAAACATCATAGATTTTGCATTAGACATACAAATTTTAGATATAATGTTTACTCTGAGTAAATATGTTATTTTTTGTGCAAAATATATGACATTTGTATTCAAAATATTCCTGGTCTTACAAGGAATCCAGCAATGTCAATTATATTATCCTAACTTTAATCTGAGGTATTATTTAATACAAAATGTTAAAATTTAGTTTTTTCACCCAACATCTCTTGAAGGGAGGATTGGTGGGGGGTGGGGGGGAGGGTTGGGACTGACCGCACGGTTGGAAGAGGGGGGGAGGCAAGGTGGGGTACTTTGATTGACAGATAGTGTCTTGAAGAATTTTTTTTTTTTTTATTAACTGAAGATATTTGTTTTAGCTCATAAAATTCATACAAATTACCCGGCCAGAATATAATTTACATTGCTGGAATTCTTACAATTTGGTGATCATTTTGAATATAAACATCATAGATTTTGCATTAGACATACAAATTTTAGATATAATGTTTACTCTCAGTAAATATGTTATCTTTTGTGCAAAATATATGACATTTATATTCAAAATATTCCTGGTCTTACAAGGAATCCAGCAATGTCAATTGTATTATCCTAACTTTAGTTTGAGGTATTATTTATTAAAATTTAGTGGTTTCCCCCCCAAAATTTCTCAGAGAGGGAAGAGCCAGCAGTGTAGTGTGAGAAGAGGGGGAGGGAGTTGAGTCCATTATTTGAATGGACATTAACTTGGCGACTGTATTTCTCTATTTCTCTTAAGTATTAATTGTGTGCATGTACCATCATAAAATTAAGATGTTATTTTTACTAGAACATAGGTATTGTGTCGGAAAAAGTGGAGTTTGGGGATCGGGCCAGTTTCTATTGGAATTAATCCCATATGTTCTGTTGTTCACTTAGCACGGTTTTCACTTAACACGGTACCCTGTGGGTTTTATTGACCGCGTTAAGCGGGGTACTACTGTATAAACATCATAGATTTTGCATTAGACATACCGAAAATTTCCTAAATTCAACAAAAATGGAAGAAAAGTTCACTTACTTTGAGGTGTGAATGTAGAAGGCTCCTGGATGATGATGGGAATTAGAATGGGGGTGGAGGAGAAGGGAGAAAAGAAGGCATTGGGGCGGAAGAGAAATCACCCCATGCTGCCATTTCACCCATAAAATTTTAGTTCACTTGGTATAATTCAAGATTATTTTCTTTAAATCAACACTGCACTGGACTATATATTATTATGTAAAACATATTTCAAAATGACCAATAATTTGACTGGAAACACAGAAAAAAAGTGTTTATGTTGAAGAGTCTCAAACAAGATGTTCCTTCCTCTGAACTGGTAAACAAACTGACGCCAAGCTTGGTGTGTCGAGTGGCTGTTTGGCGCGCAAAAAACTAGTTTCCTGTACTTCAATTATGTTCAATAATTTGTTAAAATGACTAAAAAATTTAATATAAAACTTTTAAAATTATTGAATAGTACAACCTTCTTGATATTTAATCAAATGGGAACGAATTTAAGCCCTAGAACCGATTACAATATTGGCGGACTAATATTCCAGCTGGTGAGCAAACAAAAACATGTTGAGAAGAATTCGTAAGGATTTCGTTAACCGAATTTTTTTCGCTAACTAAGTTGAAGATTCTTATGGAAGGTAATTCATTAACTGAAATTTCATTAACCGAGGGATCACTGTATAAGAATAGCATGAATTTCAAGGATAAACTTACATCCTCTAGTAATTCAAAGCCATCAGCTCCTTCTAGCAGTAGATCTCTTAACTCAAGTGTTTTGAGTCCTGAGAGTATTCCAAGGACACGCTTAAACATGGATAACATGAGCCCTCCAGTTCCAAACACAACTTCCTCTGATCTCTCTGCCACATGACAAGAAAAATGAAATCTGAAAGAAGAAGATTTGTATTAAATTACAGCTTTTAAAATTTAATACCAAAGTTTGCCAACCACAAGGATTGCATTTTAGAATTTTCCCATGGTTGGCATGCCCTGAGTCTAATGCAAAATATGGGTTAGGGAGGTAACCCCTGAGAGACATACCTCAAGTCCTATAATACACAGCGTAAAGTTGGAAATAAATAGTGTATTTTATATTTCATACATTTAAAATACAGGAGAGGTATATAAATACTGTAGAGGTACTAAAATAATTAACAATTGTAATGGAGCAGTCCCCCCTAACACCATATGCCTGTTCTAATATCAAACAAAGAAGCACATAGAACTATCATAAGTTTCCTGTAATTTCATTCTGAATCACACTTGTCTACAATCTTGAGAGCCTCAAGACTGGCATCTGAATCCAAGAATAAAATAATCCTATGACAGGTTGAGCAATTAATGTCCCACATACAAATTTGCCAACCAATGTCAAACTGGGTCATTAAACAAATGTAAACATTCTTACAAAGTGAAAAAACACACATTTATATTTAATACTGTACAGTACTATAGTCAAAATCCTGAAATATGTATTAAAAATAGTAAATGGGTAGCACATTAGTTTCAAACAGAAATGGAAACAAGCCAAATGAGTATTGCAAAAACAGGTGCTAGTGTGATATCTGCCAAACCTCATTAACAGTTAGGGCTGCACTGGGAAGATTAACTTATTTTCAGATTAGTACCACTCACGAATATCCTGGTCAGGGGATTCATGTTATTAACCCTTAGACATGGTTACTATACATAAGTTTCCCATGAAAGATTACGAAGACCATTGTGGCATATTTTTCAAGTCAATACCATATCACCATAATCAAAATCCCCCATTAGTAGAAGGATACATTTTAATTTCACGTGAGTTAGGGTCATGAGAAACCTAAATCTCAAGAACAGGAGGAAATGGCAAGGGAGAGTAGTCAAAGACAATTGTCAACAGCAACAATGAGAGGCTGAATTAACAAGTAGACACACTCCACACATTTCCCCAAGTAGCAGGTAAATATACAATGAGAAGCCATCATCTCCACATCAGATACATGCACAGGTATGAGATCATATATCCAGCATCCCGGTAACCAGAACACTACAAAAACAGGCTACGTTCTGGAGCAAATTATTTAAAATGAGCGTCAAGTAATTCCCGGACCCAGTGAGGATGTTTCCAATCATTCCCAACCTGTGATTTTGGGTGAGGGAGGGGGTTTTGAGAATTGCAATTAAACGCCAGGAAGCGACATGTCCTCCTAATATTACGTATTTAAGTAATTACTCGATGTTTTAATTGCCTGTATGTTGGCCTGGTGAGTTAATGCGAGGCATTTACACACCTAGGCATAAAGCTAGACGTCGCATTCTGGACTATATCACAAAAACTGGTTTTTAGAAAGAACGGCTTTTTTAACTCGTAATTTTGGATAAATATTTGACATTTTTTGTTAATCAGTTATGTATAGTCACAATCCAAAGTTTCGACACCCCACTGGCTGGGTGTTCACCGAGGCCAGGGTTGAGGTAAAGCTGGGTGATCGGACGCAGACATTCCACCACCACAACACTCCAAGACTCACAGCACACGAGCATGGAATGAAATTTTTACGAATTTTGACATGACATGCACAACAAAATTTCATTCATAACATTGTTGGCACACATAGCAATAGGAAGTTAGGTATGAGGCATGAGAAATTTGGACAGTTCTCGACCCAGTTATGAAATATGAATATTGATAAACATCACGTGTTGATGGACTAAAAGTATCGTGACACTACTACAGACAAAGAATAAGTCCCATCACAAAGATGCACATTAACTGTCAATAATCATAGTAGTAACACTACCCTGTATATGAAAATATGGTTACCTAGTATAGATTTATGTAGAATTAATTAGGTCTTTGTCTTTATTTCATTATCCATTCATCACGTCATTACAGAGTATCAATTATATTACCATATTTTTTTTGTCATAGAAATGTGGGAAACAATATCAAGTCAACTTTGGTTCACATTAATTTTTATTTTGAAAAACTTTACTCTATGACAAAGGCTTTAATACTTTGTCCAACCCCCTTGGGCCTCAATAACCGCCTGCAGTCGGGTTGGAACAGAATTCACCATCTTTGTGCAGATGTCTGGGCGACGTCTTATGCTCTCCCACACTTCCCTCGCCTTCGTCTCCACAGCCTCCCTGGTCTTCTCTGGGACCGTCCATTCCTGAACCATAATTCCCCACAAATTTTTGATGGGGTTACAGTCACACCCAGGGCCGCCGCTTCCATTAGGCGAGGTTAGCAAATGCTAAGGGCGCCAACATATACAGTGTCACCACCACAGCTCCATTCTTCACAGCCAACATATACAGTGTCACCACCACAGACTCATTCTTCACAGCTAACATATACAGTATGACCACCACAGCTCCATTCTTCACAGCCAACAGATACAGTGTAACCACCACAGCTCCATTCTTCACAGCCAACAGATACAGTGTCACCACCACAGCTCCATTCTTCACAGCCAACAGATACAGTGTCACCACCACAGCTCCATTCTTCACAGCCAACAGATACAGTGTCACCACCACAGCTCCATTCTTCACACCAACAGATACAGTCAACCACAGCTCCATTCTTCACAGCCAACAGATACAGTGTCACCACCACAGCTCCATTCTTCACAGCCAACAGATACAGTGTCACCACCACAGCTCCATTCTTCACAGCCAACAGATACAGTGTTACCACCACAGCTCCATTCTTCACAGCCAACAGATACAGTGTCACCACCACAGCTCCATTCTTCACAGCCAACAGATACAGTGTCACCACCACAGCTCCATTCTTCACAGCCAACAGATGCAGTGTCACCACCACAGCTCCATTCTTCACAGCCAACAGATACAGTGTAACCACCACAGCTCCATTCTTCACAGCCAACAGATACAGTGTCACCACCACAGCTCCATTCTTCACAGCCAACAGATACAGTGTCACCACCACAGCTCCATTCTTCACAGCCAACAGATACAGTGTCACCACCACAGCTCCATTCTTCACAGCCAACAGATACAGTGTCACCACCACAGCTCCATTCTTCACAGCCAACAGATACAGTGTCACCACCACAGCTCCATTCTTCACAGCCAACAGATACAGTGTCACCACCACAGCTCGAATTCTTCACAGCCAACATATACGGTGTGTCACCACAGCTCCATTCTTCACAGCCCAACAGATGCAGTGTCACCACCACAGCTCCATTCTTCACAGCCAACAGATACAGTGTCACCACCACAGCTCCATTCTTCACAGCCAACAGATACAGTGTCACCACCACAGCTCCATTCTTCACAGCCAATAGATACAGTGTAACCACCACAGCTCCATTCTTCACAGCCAACAGATACAGTGTCACCACCACAGCTCCATTCTTCACAGCCAACAGATGCAGTATCACCACCACAGCTCCATTTTTCACAGGCAACAGATAGTGTCACCACCACAGCTCCATTCTTCACAGCCAATAGAAAGTGTCACCACCACAGCTCCATTCTTCACAGCCAACAGATACAGTGTCACCACCACAGCTCCATTCTTCACAGCCAACAGATGCAGTGTCACCACCACAGCTCCATTCTTCACAGCCAACAGATGCAGTGTCACCACCATAGCTCCATTCTTCACAGCCAACAGATACAGTGTCACCACCACAGCTCAATTCTTCACAGCCAACAGATACAGTGTCACCACCACAGCTCCATTCTTCACAGCCAACAGATACAGTGTCACTTTCCATTCTTCACAGCCCCAACAGATACAGTGTCACCACACAGCTCCATTCTTCACAGCCAACAGATACAGTGTAACCACCTGACTCCATTCTTCACAGCCAACAGATGCAGTGTAACCACCACAGCTCCATTCTTCTGCAGCCAGCGGATACAGTGTCACCACCACGCTCCATTCTTCTGGCCAACAGATACAGTGTCACCACCACAGCTCCAGCTCCATTCTTCACAGCCAACATATACAGTGTCACCACCACAGCTCCATTCTTCACAGCCAACAGATACAGTGTCACCACCACAGCTCCATTCTTCACAGCCAACAGATACAGTGTCACCACCACAGCTCCATTCTTCACAGCCAACAGATGCAGTGTCACCACCACAGCTCCATTCTTCACAGCCAACAGATACAGTGTCACCACCACAGCTCCATTCTTCACAGCCAACAGATACAGTGTCACCACCACAGCTCCATTCTTCACAGCCAACAGATACAGTGTCACCACCACAGCTCCATTCTTCACAGCCAACAGATACAGTGTTACCACCACAGCTCCATTCTTCACAGCCAACAGATACAGTGTTACCACCACAGCTCCATTCTTCACAGCCAACAGATACAGTGTCACCACCACAGCTCCATTCTTCACAGCCAACATATACAGTGTCACCACCACAGCTCCATTCTTCACAGCCAACAGATACAGTGTTACCACCACAGCTCCATTCTTCACAGCCAACAGATAGTGTCACCACCACAGCTCGAATGTGCTGCATCCAGGACTGCACCTGTTGACCCCACTGACTGGCCATCCTCAATGACAAACCAGGAAAAAGCAGAACTTGTTCGCAGAGGACCTTACCAGGTTGATCCTAATTATGTGTTTCCAAAAAAGGGTGGGAGAAGATGTCAACATGATTACTTTTGCCAAATCTTAGTAAATGAAGAGAACATCCAAAGAAGTTGGCTAATTTATTCGGTGAAACAGGATAAACTTTTTTGCTTCTGTTGTAAAATGTTTTCTACGAAACATGTTAGAATGGCTGAAGAAGGCATCAATGATTGGAAAAATGCATTTTCATTTTACATAATTGCATGAGCACAAAATCCTACATATAGAAAGTGCAAAAAGAAATAAATGACATAATTATCATCAGATATAAAATTTTACTTTTCTACAAATTCCCACTGAAGCTGTGTGGTATGTGTGGAGGTTGGAGGGTTCACAGCGTGGAGCACCTTTGCTAGGGGCTCTGCTCTGTTGCTAAAGTGAAAATCAGGGGCAACTGTGACGCAGTTTGTAAACTAATTTGTATCATATTTTCTCTTTTTATGCTTCCGTTATTGCTATTATTTATATGATTTTCTTATTTTAAATTTTAATGTTAACGTATACAGTAAAAAGCTACTTTTAGGGGTGAATCTAGTGATCTGAACAGAGGCTTCACAGCCAGTTACAAAGGGTTTACTGTACAGTTTGTACATCTCAGGCCTGGCACTCCAAATTCTGGAAAAAATCTCCCTACCGGCAACCCCAAGGTCCCAAGCATGCCGGATAAATAGTCCCATACCTTTACAATGCTTCATACAGATTCAAAGTAATTGTGCTCATTCATACATTCACTATTAATCTATAATTATAGCTAACATCCTCTTATCTATAAACCAGTCTCGTACCAACACAGTATAATGTACTGTACTACATAGAATATGACATACCTTAGTGTATGAACATTTTCTAGTATGCTTGGGTCTTTAAGATTCAAGTAAAATGAAATATTCAAAAATTCATATAGGTTAAAGAGATTGCTCATAGGTTGAAATATTAGAGTTCTTATGTGTTTTCCTTTCTTGTTGAGGAAGATTGTGGCTCGGAAATGGTCGAGTAGTTTCTGAAAATCATAAAACAACGAAATAAGTGGGTTTTTTATCAATCATTGAAGTTACTGATTAAAAATTTTAAACTTTCAAAATAATGCAACACAGTATCATTTTAAAATTGCACACAGAATCTCTAGTTCTTATACTCTAATTTACTTTTTCATAATATTTCATTATACAGTAACAAAATTGTGTAATCATATCACAGTCAAAATGTATAATAATGTATTCTCAATGTGTAGGGTTGCCCTACACTTGCATAAATGCATTGTCCTTAATGAAGTACAAAAATACCAAATACAAGTCCATGTTACACAAAAGAGACACTATAGTATTGAAAGGAAACTTCTAATGAATCAGCCAACCTACCATACCTTAAAAAATGGATTCTGTCCCTAGATTTAATTATGACAAAATATTTGGCGGACTTCCAGACTTGCAGCATAGTCATTCAATGGAACAAAGGGGTAATTAATTATTGTTGTTTAACTGAATTTCCATATACATATATCCAGGAGAGCTAGTGACCCCTTGTGGGGCGAGCGTCCGCCAGCTCCAAGTAAGGACACTCAACTGAGTAGTGCCCCCTGAGATGCTTATACACCTCAACTAGGTCCCCCCTTGCCCGTCTGTAGTATAAGCTAGGCAAGTTCAGGCGCTCCAATCTCTCAGGGTAGCTGAGGTGCAGGCACCAGTTTGGTGGCCCTCCTTTGAACATTTTCAACCAACTGACAGTCCCTAGCATATCTCGGGGACCAGATGGGGTGACAGTACTCCAGATGGGGAAGCACTTCACTCCTGAAGATCGTCACGAGGGACGGACCGTCTAGATATCTGAACGACCTTCTTATAAGACCCAATAATTTATTTGCCTGATTTACCTTCTTCTCACAATGGCCCGAGAACTTCAGCTCATTGTCAACATACACACCTAGGTCCTTCTCACACACAGTCTCAACTAGTGCATTTTCTTCATCCCGTTGGGACATATGATACGCCTCCTTACCGTTGGAACGCCCCAGGTGCATCCTCTTACACTTCGTGACATTGAATCTCAGCAGTCATTTCTTCGACCATTCCTGGAGCCCACAGAGGTCCTTCTGCAGCTCTTCACAGTCCGCTTGGTTCTTAATTTCCCGAAATAACTTGCCATCATCGGCAAACATTTGTATGGAGGAGTGTACAACGTCAGGCATGTCATTTATGAAACAAACAAACAACAGCGGGCCCAATACACTGCCCTGTGGTATCCCACTTGTTACAGGTACAGATGACGATTTCGTGCCATTAATCACCACACACACTGCTTGCGGTCATGTAGAAAGTCTTCTATCCACGCTAGGACATTTCCCCGAATTCCGTACCCTTCCAGTTTGATTTTCAGCCTTTCGTGGGGTACACTGTCGAAAGCCTTGGCAAAATCTAGGTAAATATTGTTGATATTACCACCCCATTCTAGAATATGGGTCCAAATATCCAATACCTTGAGCAATTGTGTTAAGCAAAAGCGCCCCGGCATAAAACCGTGTTGGCAATCTTTTACAAGGTTGTTTCGTAGTACATGTTCCATCGCGGCATCTCTGATAATACTCTCAAGTACTTTACATATTATGCTGGTCAGGCTCACCGGTCTATAGTTGTTCGTGGAGTGACTATCGCCCTTCTTGAAGATAGGACTCGCATAAGCCACTTTCCATTCACTGGGGACCATTTGTTCATCCAGGCATTTACAAAACAGAATCTTCAGGGGCTCTGCAAGCTCGTTGCACAGCTCTCTTAGCACTCTAGGATGCACCATGTCAGGTCTGGGACTCTTATGGACCTTTAGACTGGACAGTTTATTTCTAATACCCCCTTCTGTGAACACAATGTGGGTCAGTGCTGTGTCGAACCGTCTGTCCTCAAACGCAGAAAGGTTAGTTGCATCCTCTCTTGTGAACACTGAGGAAAAGAAGCTGTTCAATGCCTCAGCTTTATCCTGGTCAGAATCTGCGTAACTACCATCTTCAAGCCTCAGGTCTGATACTCCTACTCACGTTTTCAATTTCGACTTTGCATAGCGGTAAAACGCCTTTGGGTTTGACTTGACCTCGCATGCAACCAGCCTCTGGAACTCCTTTTCAGCCCTCCTACACTCTATCTTTGCTTGGTTTCTGGCTCTTGCATACATCCTCCTGTCTTGCTCATCGTTTGACCCAACCCACGTCTTGAATTTCTGGGTTTTCTTCTTAATTTTGTCGACCGCCGCATGGTTCATGTGTAGGGATCCCCTCGTATTCTTAGAAGCACTGGGTTTGGTCTTGGGTATATATTTATCGATCAAATGGGTCATTTTACTAGTTATGATATTCAGCGTAGTGTCTGCGTTCTTGTACCTTAATAAGTCAGGCCAGTTGATACCCCTCATCTCTTCCCTCATCCCATTGTAATTTCCCTTGTAATATTTGCACCTTGGCCTGGCCTTATCTTGAACTAGGTAACAGTTAAATCTGAATGACAACACTGTATGGTGACTGGTGCCAACTGGGGCAAGGTGTTCCAGTTTGGCCACCATACCCTCCTCGTTTGTTATGATGAGGTCAAGTGGCTTGGGTGTTTGCTCCCCTCTGTAATGTGTCGGGTCTCTCACATGTTGGAACAGAAAATTATCTCTCAGAGTTTCTACAAAAAGAGTAGCAGGGTTATTCAAGTCATTCGGGGTGGACTCGTTTCTCCAGTCGATGTCGCCATAGTTAAAGTCCCCCATGATAAGGAGGTGGCTAGGGTTGAGCATCGCCGCATTGTTTATTAAGGTTCTTAAGTTCCTTTGATTTAGTGGGCCACAGTTTGGGGATCTGTAGATACACCCAACGATAAGTAAGTCCCCTCCCTTTAATTTAATTTTACACCACTTGGACTCTTCAAAAACATCCTCTCCCTGTACCCTCGCCTGGCTGGCTCTAAGGTCTTGCCTAGCGTAGATAACCACACCCCTCCTGCAGGATTCTTGAGTTAGGTTCGTAAATGAGTCATATCCAGCAATACTGAACTCACATTCCTCTGGGTCGATTCTCCTGTTCTTGTACAACAGTTCTACAACTCCTACAATATCTGGTTGGTGTACTCTTAGTAGTGTTTCAAACTCCTCTCTCTTATCAAGGAACGTGTCAGTATTAGTGTACATGACATTCAAGCCATAATTTGTTCTCGGTAACGTCTCTGCTCTTAGTAATAAACCCGCTCCACCCACATTCTCAGAAGCTGCAGCATTTGCTAAGTACACTGTATTTTGCAGAGTGTGGTTAGAAATGTCACTGTTTACACGGCGCTCGTTCCCTCCTGTCCGGTAGGCTGAGCTGGTGCCGCCTCCCGGGTGGGGGGTTGAGTGGGTGGAGGGTGCACTGCTGCCCCCTGGCCCTGTGTCGGCACACTTGTTTCCACTACCCTCCCCCTGAGTATAACCCAAGTACACCGGTCCCCGTTCCTCCTCGACTCCTCCCTCTTCTGCTTCAAGTCCTGCAGGAGCTTCTTGTTCATGTCCTTCTAATAATTGCTTCTCAGAAAATAGTGTACTCACGTGCCTAAGTTCGCTACCACGCTACCAAACACTTGATGATATCAGTTATATTCTAATAAAAGCCTGGGTGGTGGCAGTCTACCTGTGTAAGTATAAAATATAACTGAGCCATGATAAGAAATTGAGAGAAAGAAGTAAGAGGAAAATATAAGAATAAATAAGCACACTGAAATAAAGATTTAGAAGAGATACTAACATAGAAAATAAAAATATAGAAAAGGAATTAATAATGTACAACTAAGAAAATTAAAAGGAGGTTACATATACCCTGTAAGGCAGAAATAACATAGAAAATACAATACTGATAATACAAATAGAAAATATAAATAAAAACACAGAAAAATTAAGCTAATATATAATAGGACAAAATGTAGAAACAGAAAATAAAATTATATATACAGTATACGGTATACACAAGAAAAGATAACTCCTCTCTCTCCTTTTACACAAATATAATATAGATATAGATAAAAGAAATAGGAGTAGAAAATAAAACTAAAAACCTTAAAATCGCCCCCCACCCCCTTTACCATGTACTGTATGTATCACCCTTCCTTCCTCCAGTATAATTTGCATGCCAGAAAATATTCAGCATACATGTGTCTTGACCTTTTTGTCAGCTTGCAAAATAATTTAAGAAGTTTTAATACTGAAGCCCAAGTTTATGTTGTGACAGACATGCTTGGGTGGTGATAGCATAATTACCAGTTAAATAATTAATGAGAGATAATAAGTACAAATTCTCAGTTACTGTATGCCCAAATGAAATTAATTAAATTGAAAATAAATAGTTTTAGGGTAGCAGACAAGGAATGTGTAAAAGTTGGTCTTGTCAAGAGTTTACACTTGACCTGACATGATCCAGTCTATCATGGTGCCCGGTAAGTCTTAGGCGAAAAAGGGGGTTCAATCAGACCCCTCACCCACCCTCCCTTGGATCCACCACTGGATACAGATATACATTGTGTTGTTTACTGCTTTAAATGAATTAAAAATTCACATAACAAAGACTTTCCTACAAGTGATATGGGACCTACCTAGCTGAACTACAAAAAATAAGAGGTCATTAAATCCACAAACCTGCCATCCAGAGTAGTAGTTGAATTTTCTTTTTGTAAGAAGTTCATCATGGAGGAGAAATGTGTACCATACTCTTGGAAAGTAGAATGCTCTTCTCCAGGTCATACATACCTTAAATGACACCCAAACAATAAAGCATTCATGAGAATGTCGTGTAAATTAAGGTCAATGCCAATAGAGGGATGAAAGAGTACAAGATTATACATGGAGTCCCAGAAAGTTACAGATGACATTGAAAAAACATGACATGGTGAGTCCTAATAACATTTGTAGAGAGTCTTATTCCAGTGATCCCTCGGTTAACGAACGCCTCGGTTACAGAAATTTTGTTTAACGAATTACCTTCCATAAGAATCTTCAATTCAGTTAACGAAAAAAATTCGGTTAACGAATTCCTTACGAATTCTTCTCAACATGTTTTTGTTTGCTCACCAGCTAGAATATTAGTCCGCCAATACAGTAATTGGTTCTAGGGCTTAAATTCGTTCCCATTTGAGTAAATATCAAGAAGGTTGTACTATTCAATAATTTTAAAAGTTTTATATTAAATTTTTTCGTCATTTTAACAATTATTGAACATAATTGAAGTACAGGAAACTAGTTTTTAGCATGCCAAACAGCCACTTGACTCACCCAGCAGGTGTCAGTTTGTGTCTCTGCTCAGTGGAGGTAACATCTTGCTTGAGATTCTTGAACATAAACTATTTTTACAGTACAATTATTGGATTCTGAAGTTTATTTTACATATTGACAATATATAGAGCAGTGCAGTGTTGATTTAAAGAAAATAATCTTGAATTACACCAAGTGAACTAAAATTTTATGGGTGAAATGGCGGCATGAAGCATGGGGTGATTTCTCTTCTACCCACACTTCCTTCTCTTCTCCCTTCTCCTCCACCCCCACTTCTAATTCCAATCATCATCATCATCATCAACCAGGAGCCTTCTACATGCACACCTCAAAGTAAGTGTACTTTACTGCATTTATTTTTAGTTTGTATGTAATTTTCGGTGAGCTGGAACCAATTACCCAAAATCCCATTGAAACAATGGTTTTGTTTAACGAAATTTTCAGTTAACGAACGACCTTCTGGGACGAATTGTGTTCATTAACCGAGAGACCACTGTATAACACTTATCCCACATCAAATGATCAGGCCAGGGAGAAAATAAGAGAATACAGTACTGTACTGTATTCTACTTCCTCCCTGACCTTATCACTTTGTTATCAGGTTCTTTACAAATGTTCTGGTCACTCATCATGTCATGTTATTTCTTGTTTTCAGCATCATCTTTCTAACTTTCTGGGACTCCACACACAATGATGATATTTCATCATTTAGATCAATTTTAATGGTTTTATCCCAACACAGGAAGCTCGGGATTACAGTGACCTCCCATTCGGGCTCTATATATTACTTAAATATTGCTACCAATCTGCCATATATATCATCAAAGGGATTACTACTTAATTCCCCCTCCCCTTTTTGGCAAGTATGGCAAGGAATGACCCTTTCAAAGCTACACACAACACATTAAATTCGTTCTACAAGATTTTGTAAAATATGATCAGTGTCATATACCTTAAAACTGCAATGGTACTGTAAAAAATAGTTTTATTAATTACTAATTAAAATTTTGGGTATAAAAGATACAAAGATCAGTACAGGTTGTACCTCTCTAGTCCGGCATTCTGTGGTCCGGAAACTCCCGTGGCCTGGAATGATTTTAGTTTGTCCAATAGGTAGATAGGCAGCTTAATTTTTTTTTTTTTTTTTTTAACTTATCTGAATTATTATTATTATTACAGGAGTATTAAATTTTTGCCCCTCAGGCCCCAATGTGGGTCAGTGACCTATGCCCGGGTGGGCTAATCCCCTAAAAAAAAAAAAAAGCCGCGGGAAATTAAGGTTTGTTTACATCCGGCAGTTCGGCTGCTCTCTCTCTCTGCTTGTCTATACAGAGTACAACATTTAACCCTTAAATATATATGAGCAGTAAATAAGTGTTTCTTTCATATTCTTATGTCGAGTAATGACGATATATTTTCACATGTGCGCACTTACATACGAGCAGTCTCACTTTTTTTTTACCATTAATGGTTAGCTACTTATATTGTTCCATTTATTAACATTAAATAACATTACAGGTACTTCAAGCAACCATATTAATTTTTTACATTAATTTTACTACAGCTAAACTCAGGGTCTTATTTTCTTCAGTTTTATATGTAGAACCAATCAGTCACTGGTTTCGTAAGCTTTAACATAAACAATGCCGGCAGCGGTCTCGTCTCCTCTAATATTCCACGTATTATTAATAAATTGTATTGTTAATTTTGCACACACGTACATTAATTCAATAAAAACAAATTCAGAAACATTAATTAAAATATATATGAACAGTAAATAAGTGTTGCTTTCACATTCTTATGTAAAGTAATGACGATATGTCATTTTACTACAGCTACAACCAAGGTCTTATTTTCTTCAGTTTTATATGTAGAACCAGTCAGTCACTGGTTTTGTAATCAACGAAAACAATGCTGTGTCATTTCCTCGTGTGTTTTAATTTTCTACGTATTATTAATGAATTGTATTGCTCATTTTGCACATATAAACATTAATTCAATAAAAAAGACATTCAGTAATAAACAATAATGAATCTTTTGTACATAAGAGAAATGACGCTGTTTACACGATTATGCACGTCGTCTGCACGTTGGCGGGCCGTTCAAACCCGTCGAAATTCAAGTTTCCGCCGTCAAAATTTTTATTTATTTATTTTTTTGTGTGTTCCAATAAAATACGTTAAGAATTAAAAACTCGCGAAATTTGAGAAGCTACTATACGACATTTAACCCTTCAATATGTCTTCAAAGAGACCATGACGCAGAGAAAGTGGTGCTAGTGCTTCCAGGCATAAGCACAAGTCACTATCTATCCAGGAAAAGGGTGAATTTCCATGGTCCGGCACCGGTCAGGTCCCGAGGTTGCTGGACTAGAGAGGTACAACCTGTAATACATACATACATACATACATATATATATATATATATATATATATATATATATATATATATATATATATATATATATATATATATATATATATATATATATATATATATATATATATATATATATATATATATATATATATATATATATATATATATATATATATATATATATATATATATATATATATATATATATATATATACATATATATATATATATATATATATATATATATATATATATATATATATATATATATATATATATATATATATATATATATATATATATATATATATATATATATATATATATATATATATATATATATATTATAATTTTGAGACAATTTGGCTGAACAATTCTAGAGATAATGTCCAAACCTGTTACTTACTGAACCAGAGAAATAATTCCCAACCTACCTGTGATGCATCAAATCGTTTCTGAATTGTGAGATATTGGAATACTCTCTCCAGGAGGAGGTCTGGTAATAGGTGCCAGTTACTATATACATGATTAGGATCCTCGTCTGCCTTCTTCTCATCAACATAGGTGGTTTTCTCCGTTACTTGAAATTCTGTATCAAAAGAAACACATGCTAGGTAAATTCCAAAGACTTGCATAGTGTAGTTATAACCATTAAACAACATTGCTATTTCAGAATTGCCTATACTGTACATACTTGTACCTGTATTCACAAAAAAATCATACAAACTTGCCATACAAGTTATAAGGTTATCCAGTAAGAAACAGAAATTTGTTACCATTTCAAAGTGGTAGCTGCCCAATTGGAGGTTTAGCCTAGAACTACTTCTTAGTAAAGCTGCCACATCACATCAATAGGCATTATACTGGAAATAAATACTTTCTACTCTGCTTAAAATAAATACCAAGGATTCAACACATAGTGTTTCCTAACCCAAGTTATGGATGAAAGGTAACATTGAAATAATAAAGGTATCAAAAAGTAGAATGAATGACTGTTTTCTGGTACCCCAGCTTCATATATTATTATTGTTGAGGCAGGCCATAAGTTTCGAATAAGCCTAGGAGAGTAAACACTGAATGAATTTACTTTTTACTTTTACCTTTATCCTCTTCACCACTGATCGGCTCGTTAGCCACTTGGGCGATCGGTCACGTCTCTGTTACGCACTGTTGGCAAGTACTGGGCATGCACCGGCTCCTGAATGTACCTGAACCCGCTCTAGTATTGGTCAAGTCTTGTCTGGAAAGAGCTCTCACTCGGTGCCGTCACAACACTTTCTGGTAGATTGTTCCAAGAGTTCACAACTCTCACTCCAAAAAAGTTTGCCCTCACAGTTTTTTGGACTTGCAGCTTCTTCAATCTTGAGCTGTGACCCCTTGTGGGGCGAGCGTCCGCCAGCTCCAAGTAAGGACACTCAACTGAGTATTCAGATGCTTATACACCTCAATTAGGTCACCCCTTGCCCGTCTGTAGTATAAGCTAGGCAAGTTCAGGCGCTCCAATCTCTCAGGGTAGCTGAGGTGCCGAAGGGCAGGCACCAGTCTGGTGGCCCTGCTTTGAACATTTTCAACCAACTGACAGTCCCTAGCATATCTCGGGGACCAGACGGGGTGACAGTACTCCAGATAGGGAAGCATTTCACTCTTGAAGATCGTTACGAGGGACGAACCGTCTAGATATCTGAACGACCTTCTTATAAGACCCAATAATTTATTTGCCTGATATACCTTCTTCTCGCAATGGCCCGAGAACTTCAGCTCATTGTCAACATACACACCAAGGTCCTTCTCATATTGTCCCAAATAGTGCAGTTTCTTCATCCCGTTGGGACATATGATACGCCTAATGCCAGCCTCTCATGCAAAAAACAAAGGAATATACAGTATTGGTGAGCAGAGTATACAGTACAGTACCGGAAACTCATTTACAAGTACTCCTCGATTTACGACCTACTCGACTTATGACCACCCAGACATACAACCGCCGCAGTAGTATAAATATTTTATATGATCTCCGCAGTCGTATAAAATATTTTTCAAATTAAGTATTTTCGAGTCCCGACGTTAGTGATTGCGCTGTGTACTGACAAAATTTTCGTTTGTAATTCTCTTTAAAATGGCTGGCAAGCGTAAACGTGAGAGTTCTCGTGGTGCTGAGAAGAAAAAGAGACACCTATTTTAGATTTTCTATGTATTATTTTTGCATTTTCGACTTACGACCTGGTCGTCGGTTCCTAACCCCGTCATAAGTCGGGGACTGACTATATAATGTTCTGTCAATGAAATTTACAACATTTATTCATAAAATTGCTATTATTATATGCATGAAACCTGCAATACAGAATAGAATCATCATCAGTGGGCTGTGGCTGGGAACACAGTTCCTCTTTTACTATGGAAACCTATCTTCATTTACCTATACCAACCTGTATATGTATAATGTAAAGTTTAATGCTAAGAAGGTCTAAAATATCTTAATCCCAGTAACAATACTGTATACTACTGTAGTCATAAAAAAGGATGATACAAGAAAAAGAATAAAAAATATAAATTTTTTTCAAAATAGATAAAGCTATTAAGAGTAATAATACTGTAGAAGTCCAAAAATCCGGACTGCTTGGGGATTGGGTCGGTCTGGATTTTCGGATTTTCCGGATTCTCAGGCAGTACTTTTAAAATTCAAATTTAAGGAGGAATAAAGAAGAGATGAACAGGTACATTTTGATAGTTTTTTCATTAGCAAATATAGCATGCTTCATTTATCATAACGTGCAGTTTTAAAGAAAAAGCTGTGAATTCTAGAATTTTATTCTTTGCCTTTTTTATATCATAAATTGTAGACTTTCCAATGTTGTATGTTTCCATTAGAACAGTATTGCTCACACCACGTTCTATTCTAATTATTTCAAGTTTGTCACTCAATTTCAACGTGTTCTTCTTTCTCTTCACACAACGAAGTTTATCTACTTTAGGAGCCATTATTATGGGCTCTGTAAATGGAAAGAGTAGGACTCAAAATTACATACGTTGTCACAGTTTGATTGCCCGTTTTAAAGTGGCGACCGCGTGGTCGCTTGTTGTCGCTGTGCAGCTGTGGCGCTCATGCATGCGCACATACACACAAAAGCCAGCTAAAAAAAAAAGAAGAAAAAAAAAAAAAGTTTGAGTTTTCGAAAAGTCCGGATTCTCGGGTGGTCCGGATTTCTGGCATCCGGATTTTTGGACTTTTACTGTATTTAGAATAAAATGTAAATAAAATTATAATTATGTTTAATAGTTTATCACACAGCTAATTGCTAAAGTATGTAAAGGAGCAAACAGTGGAAGGGAAACACTTGAAGCTAATAACACCAAAGCAGATTAAAATAGCTACATGCAAATTCAATTAATAAAACCAAGAGGAACTAAGACATACTAGAGCAGGTTTAGTAGACATAAGAAAACCTCTTTATCAAGCTTGGGATTATAGACTGTCCTAACTGTTCATTAACTTTTTTGTTATGAAAGTTTCTTCAGATGATAGGGAACAGCTTGCTGATGCTCAATAAGTTACAATCTTTGGTAAGAGGATTTCTGACCAACTAGAATTAAAACTAGTTTTGGCTGCTCATCCTAAAAAAAACAAAGGCCCTCACCCTCATGAGAAAAAGATGATGATTATGATTATTAAAATGGGATGTTACGTAATGCATATAGCTACATAACTATTCTAATGAGCTGTTCTTATAAAAATAAATAAAAATAAAATTACTGCCCTAAAATTGGAATTACTGTACAGCACAGTATACTATACACACAATTGCAGTCTAAATTGTTTCTTTTACTTTGACAACACAACATAATATATAGTACGTATATAATTTCTCACCCTTGATGTTTTCTTTTCCCATTTCTGTATTTATTTATAGTGCACCCCCCCCCCCCACCAAGGCTCCGATGTGGGTCGGTGACCTGTGACCGGGTGGGCTAATCCCCACAAAAAAATATATAAAAATTATATTGTTAATAAAAGAAAACATGAGAATAATTGTTAATACATATACAACCTGTACCTACAAAAGTCTATTATACTATACTGTACTGGGAATGCAATCCCAAAGCAAAAATTCTTCTCCATAATGTACTAAATCAAACATATGGCCCACTTAACGACATTTCTTATGGAAAACACTCACTACTGCTTATTTCTGGTTCTCTTTCAGTAAACTAACGTAGCTACTGTACTGTACTCGGTTATCAACCACTGTCTCTGACCTGATCATTGATTAGACAAATACAGCACTAAGACAAAATATTTTCTCCTCAATTTATGTCAGTGTTTTGTGCAGAAGACTTTAAGTATCACAGTTTTACCTTTTGTAATTCATAATACTGTACTCATTATCAACTTCTCTGCTGCTTTGTACAATGACAGATATCTAGATATCAGAGGGAATTACTTTGACTATTCACTATACAGTATGGTATTTTTTATCTCACTCTAGAAATTTTTTGCATATTCTCCTCTCAGAGGAAAGGGCACTGTGATGTTTATGTACAGTACAATCTTGATCAAAAGTAATCACCCACCCCTCCTACTACCAATTCCTACCATACCCGAGAGCTCAAGGCCTTTCTACAAGATAGGTCACAAGAGGGTGGAGGAGAGCTAAGGGTGGCATACCCAGGTAAGGTAGGAGGGTGTAAGTCAAGGGCCTCATATGTAGTGAGAGTGTATGTGGTCTTAGAATTGTGCGCGGACGTTTACGGCCCCACCTCAGGTTCACGCGCCTCACTTTCACTCACAACAGGTGCTGGGTCATCCACATATGACACACTTTGTGATAAGAGGAAACCTTGTTGAAACTTGCTGTGGTGGTAACTCGATTTCAGGCGAGGTAGCGCTTGTGCCCTTACTACGATTATCAAAATGTTCTTATCACCTTATTTCTAAATAATAATGAACAAAATCTTCAAAACTATTTCAGAAAATATGACTACCGAGCCAGTCTAACCTTTAGGGTGTTCATCCAGTACTGTAATGGCTACAATTCTGTAGTACGACTCGAACCTGTTATAAGGAGTTTCTACAGTAAAAACTGTTTGCTATAGCCATCTTATCTATACTGTACTGTGAAAAAATACCAGAACTGAAATGTATCATCGAGATGATACACAATAACAAAAATAAATATGATAGACAGCACGCTAGCAAGACAGCTAAATAAATACAATACTACAGCTAAAAACAATGCTACATAACGCAAAACTAGAAAAAATTTCTATTGGTGAAGAAACTAGGCAAAATTTATTAAGTTTAACAAGTTTATGGCAACTAGCTACAATTCAAGTTAAAATTAATGTATCCTATGTATGATCATTTCAACCTTCGTACCTCTTTCTTTGTAGTAATGATGTTTATCATAACATCTTCCTATTTTTTGTTCTTATCTGTTCTTCAACCCAGATATTAATGAGGCTTTATACACTGTTACACAAGTGCAAAATCTTTGAGGTGGGGCCATATAACTCCTGACCTTCATGCTGCTTGTAGTATCCTCATTGTAAAAAGAAATGCCGGACTCAAGGAAGAAATAGTCTGAAATAAAATTATCCAAGCTGCTAGTTTTATCAAATACGTATATCTAAAGTTAACACAAGCTGTTTTATGTAGGTTCAGTTACTATAGGATGAAGCTCCAATATCCGGCAACCAGATAGAGGAAATTACCATTATTTAGAAGGTTACATATCTTCTGTAGGTACTTATACCAGGTTACCAATACTGTATACTGTATAGATAGTGTATCTGTACTTGTACATAAACACATGTTTAGGAGCTATGGCACAGTTCAATTAAGGTAGAATTAAACTATAACACTTAAATAAGAATACTGTGATATTACTAGTCATACGGGTCAGGTCGTACTGTGTGTCTGTAACAAAGCGTGTTGGCACTTGAGCCTTCGTTGTTGCGTGGCAGAAACAGGACATTGAATGCGTAAAAGCATCAGGATCGTCTTAGTGATGTGAACATGTAAATCAATGTATATTGACTGTATATTGAAATATTCTACCTACTTGACTGGTGTATAGGCTGTGAGGACACAAATGTAAAATCACTGTCATTTGCCAAGACTTACTTCAGAAAATTTTAATGAGGCATGTCCATGGCTGTGACTGACCGTCCAAAGGATGATCAGAGAGTGTAGTGCTGTGCCTCATAAATAAAAATGAGGCAAGCAACAAGCACGAGTGCCTGTAAGAAAACCAAAGCGCATTATTACTGTCACAAAGAATTTTTTTTTCTTCTGTGTTTTTCAAGGACTGTGATTATGCATATGATCCACCACTCACACAGAGATACAGTGAACACAGTATTAGCACAGAGAGATACCAACAACTCATCGAGAACTGGATAACCCCCCAGAAAAAAAAATAAGTCAAACTGTCTTGGACGGCGACACTGCACGAAAGAGGGTGCCAGGGAGTCAAGACCAGCAGAGGGCAGCTAAGTGATTTTTGTTTAAATAATATTAGTCTGGCATAAGGGCATGATCACTCACATATCTCAATTTACTTAGATTACAATTAGTAGATGTGATAATAAAGTCATCCCAGGGAGGGGTAAATTTCTTTATCAGAATAAAGTGAAGATTACGAAGAAGGCATCACCCCAGACACGAGGCCTACTGTGGGAACGCTGCCGAGTCCTGGGCTGTAAGAGGCACTTGACACAAGACTTGACACCAAGGCACAAAAGCAAGTATCATAATAATAATAAGTATTACAGTATTATTATAGTAATAATAAGTATTATTATTTCTATTATTAAACCGACAGTAGATTATATCACATCGTGAACTGAGCTTAAGGCTAGGAAGATTCTTGCAGAGTCTGGACATCCCCCACTATGGTGAAAAATAGCGGGAAAAAATTCCTTCCGCTAAATCAAGAGTTAATTATATCGGATTCCGTTAAAATGAGAGTTCCATTATATCGGATTCCGTTAAATCGAGTTTGTTATATCGGATTCTGTTAAATCAAGAGTATGCTGTACAGTAGTTGAATTTTCATTCACATAAACATCCGACACCACCATTCTTTAGGTTTGCCAGGCAAAGAAATTTTTTGAAACAGTGCCGTTTTGGGGGAGTTGCCGTATGTTAGAATGCCAGATATAGGAGCCTCAGCCTGTACAGTATAACATGCTACGTGATGAAGTTTTGTTTGAAAAGCCAACAATATCAAACACAAGTGTAATCTGGTGAGTTCCTATACCAAGAATATGTCTAGTACAACCCAAACCCTCTTATTAGAACAAATATATGCAGGTACAGTCTCTCCTTGACTTACGACGGGGTTCCATCCCGACGACCAGGTAGTACCAGTAAGTCGATTTGGTCGCAAGTCAAAAAGGCGAAAATCATACATAGAAATTCTAAAATGAAATATAGTACAGTAAAAGTAATCAATAATGAAAAATGAATAAAGTGTTACTATGCACTTACCTTTAATGTACGTAGTCAGCTGAATGCACATGGGGCCTCAATAATTTTTTAATTAAGCATGGAGACTACATTAAACGGATGAAGCAGAGGAGGAGACAGGACTGTCGTAAGTCGAATATGTCGTAAGTCGAGGAGAAACTGTACTTTACTTCAAAAGGTCTTGTCAAAGTTTATATAAAAAAAAAAAAAGACATCAGTCTGATAAGAAATTCACAAGGGTAATGTGGATATGCCTTATGCTCTATTGTACCAATACTGTATTCTCAAAGTTTCATGGAATGTACACAACTGTAATTGTTCACCAAAAGAAATGTCCTTTGCAGTAAAAAATCACAAGCCAATACATCAAAGTTAACACACCATATTTTCATGACTGGAAATGTGCACTGTTAATTGTTAAAGCTTGTGTGATAGGTACAATTTTTTTTTTGTAGCTTAATGTAAAAAGAGCATCAGTATCACTCCCCTTCCATAGATTCAATCTTGAAATTCTGTTAGTAACATGAGTAGATAATACACTCTAACAAAGAAAACAAAATGCTCACAGCATCTATCAAAGCATATAAAATACGTACGACTAGGGTCCCACATATTCACTCTGCGTTTTAGTTGATGGATTCCAACCGGACGACCAGGCCGTTCTGCCTTTGAACTTGTCTCCATTGTAATTCAATGATTTTACTGAATTACTATGAAAGTTGATGAGTGAAGATCTTTAACTTTCCAGTAGTTAGCCCGAATAGTCTAGGAATAACTTTGTAATTAAACTATTAATTCATAGTTTACAGTCTAATTGTGACTATTACACCTTACAAAAGTCATCTTAGTAGTACAGTACAACACTACTGTACCTGTGTTCTCTGGAAACTTCTGCTGTAAATATATTGTTTTTCAATACATTATAATTTAGGGAATTGTTGAAGGAGATGACAAACACCAGAAGTTGTTCAATTTTGTTCATTTTTTCACATAAGTTGTTTGGATGATAGTAAGTACTAAAAGTTATACAACAACGCAGAGAACATAAACTAACCAAACTTTACTTAACTTCCGAAACAAGGTGCGGAGCCCAGCATATTAAGCAGAAAGAACTTTGTTTGATATCAGGTACCGATGAAAGCACTTTTTTTTGAAGCAGCAAGAGTACGATTGGTTGTTGCAAACGGTCTTCAACCTCCACAAACACAGTTAACTTGTGATACAGTACCAAAATCAATGCCATTACTACGCAGTTGAAAAACAAGATGGATAGCTGCTCCTTGAGGAAGAATAATAAGTATAGAAACATAGATAAGTTAGAATCCAATTATACTCCAAAGAAATTGGAAATGTTACCAAACCCATATTATGGGATTTGAATCCAACTACAATACTGTACAGTATATGAATTTCATCCTTTATATTGTATATACATATAATTGATTAAAAAACCACATATGCAAAAATTAAGAAAAAAAAGAGGGAGATTTACGCAGGCCATAAGCAAGAAAAACAAAAAAGTGAAGCCTATAAAATTGAAAACAAAAGAAAATCAAGACAATAATTATGGCAATAAAACCCCAGATGTGAGGTTCCATCATTAGTTGTCTATCTTTACAAAGACCGGAATCACAAATATATACCAGTAGTTTAAGACGGTTTTATACCGGGGCGCACCTGCTTAACATAATTACTCAAGGTACTGAATGTTTGGACCCAAATTCTGGAACAGGGTGGCAATATCGACAATACTGTATATACCTAAATTTTGCCGAGGATTTCAAAACTGTCCTGGCATGGATCAGAGACTTTATTCATGACCACAAACAGTGGGACATATAATACGCCTCCATACCGTTGGGACATGTGATACGCCTCCATACCATTGGGACATGATACGCCTCCATACCGTTGGGACATATAATACGCCTCCATACCGTTGGGACATGTGATACGCCTCCATACCATTGGGACATGATACGCCTCCACACCGTTGGGACGTGTGATACGCCTCCACACCGTTAGGACATGTGATACGCTTCCATACCGTTGGGACATATGATAAGCCTCCATACCGTTGGGACATATGATACACCTCCATACCGTTGGGACATATAATACGCCTCCATACCGTTGGGACATATGATACGCCTCCATACCGTTGGGACATATGATACACCTCCACACCGTTGGGACATATGTCCGCCCATACCATTGGGACATATGATACGCCTTCACACCGTTGGGACATATGATATGCCTCCATACCGTTGGGACATATGATACCCTCCATACCACATATATGCCTCCATACCGTTGAGACATATGATACGCCTCCATACCACATTGGGGACATGATACACCTCCAACCCGTTGGGACATGTGATACGCTTCCATACCGTTGGGACATATGATAAGCCTCCATACCATTGGGACATCTGATAAATCTCCATACCGTTGGGACATATGATATTATGATACACCTCCATACCGTTGGGACATGTGATACGCTTCCATACCGACATATGATAAGCCTCCATATGATAAGCCTCCATACCGTTGGGACATATGATAAGCCTCCATACCGTTGGGACATATGATAAGCCTCCATACCGTTGGGACATATGATAAGCCTCCATACCGTTGGGACATATGATAAGCCTCCATACCGTTGGGACATATGATAAGCCACCATACTGTTGGTATGACCTAGGTGAAGCCTCTTACACTTCGTGACATTGAATCTTCGCAGTCATTTCTTGACCACTCTTGAAGCTGACAGATCTTTTTGTAACTCTTCACATTCTATTTGGTTCTTAATTTCCCTAAATAACTTGTCATTATCCACAAACATTTGTATGGAGGAGTGTATAGCTTCTGGCATGTCACAGGAGAAATATCGGACGAATATTTAAGGTAAAAAATTTATTTCTTTGTTTAAAACGCAGGTAAAGACATGAAATTACTGCCATATGATGACTTTTTGCCATGTTTTACCCTGTAATTTACCTCTTCTTTCACGTCCTGTCCACTGTGTGGTAATTTCTGATCAAAGAAAAAACAATACAAACTGAATTATATAAATGCCTTAGGGTGCTAACCATCTTCTCCACTATTACCCCCAATAAATCTGTTCAGACCTCTGGCTATTTGCTGTTACTCATGAATAAGCACTACATGAATTTAGCTCTCATCTATAACTTGTATATTTTGACAGTTGACCCAACAGGGTGAGCTTTCAAGTGTCCACACTCTTTTCTACCCCAAACATCACGTTAAGCATTATCACCCCTAACAGTTAGATACCCACAGTGTGATAGTAAGGAAAATGTGGGCTTAAACGGCACAGAACCAGAGTAACCTGAACAGGGTAATTATTTGACAACTGACCCATGGCCGATTTTTAATAGAAAACGATTATAAAAATGCAGCAATTTCACTGTGTTTTATAGTGGACACTGTTGTAGTTTGTGCAAATGTGTTAAAAAGTGGTTATTTCTAAATTAAACCTAACCTAACCTTAGTTGACATGAAAAACAAGCAGGTGTTGTAAGAAGACCTTAACAACCTGACCAAACAAACATACCTAACCTCACCTAATTTCCTAGCCAAGGGGACGGAGCCCCCCTGTATATTAAACAGAAAGAAACTACCATGATATGGGGTAATTTTATGTTTTTTGTGGACATGAGAGCACCCATCTGTGCAGAACAGTTATTAAGTATACGCTGAGCATTGGCAGTGATCAAGCCCGGACGGTGGAGCGTTTTGAGAGGTCAATATGGCTGGCTGTTTACCTCCTGGGAGACGTCACCGCTGCATTACCATCAAGAAGACAAGGTAGTGTGCGCCTAGACGCCTAATTATCTAACAAACGAAACATTTACACAAGAAATGATTATCATATCAGTACTCACATGAAAATAAAGGGAGAAAATAAAAAATAAAAAAAATTAACTCTTCCCACAGGTCAGGCGTCACTAATGCTCACACTACTACAATGTCTTCTAAAAAACAGTAAAATTGCAGTGTTTTATAAGCGTTTACTATGCCAAAATCGGCCAGCGGGTCAGTCATCAATAATTACCAAAATCACATAATAATTACAATAATTTAGAGTAAAAATGCTACAAAAGCAGTGATTGAAGTAATGTTTACCAGAGCCAAGTGGTCACTATTGCCGAATAAAAATACCAACTTTATACCAGTAAATAATATATACACCAATCATAGCACGTTACACAAATAATACACACTATCAATGCAATATGAATAAAATAGGTTCTATGATTCACTTCACTATTCACGATATACACATCAGCTGGGTCACAAACTGCAGTAACCTTAACTACGTTTTCTGACCAACTTTATATTAGTCTACCCAGCAATTCAGTTCTTCCGATCTATTTTTCAATCATTATATCTAATGGTAATGAAAGTCAAAGTACAACAGAGTAATACACATGAACAGTTGCGCACCACACACTAAGTGTTTGTTCAACTGCAGCTGCCTAAGTTATTTTTGGACTTGGCAGCCGACTAGAACAAGCGAGTCTACTCAGTCTTAACACTCTTAGTTCACAACGTACATCTCTAATATCTTTCTTTGAATATATATTTTTTTATATATAAAATTAAATTATAATTACTTGACATAATTCTGAAATACTTTACTGTACGTTGATAATAATATTTCATCTACGAAAAAAAATCAGTTGAACGCCTGAATAACACTTGTCAGGCGAACAATTGGCAACTGGAACTAGCGTGGCATCACAAGGAGCAAAAGCAAACTAACCAACAGTGTGACATTTTCGCTAGTCCAACTTTACAAATAAAATAATAATAATAAAAATCAAGTGCAAGCCAATTAGCAATGATTAACAGTTGATTGGAGGCGCCTTCTCCCAGGGCACCCAACGTTTGGATCAGTGTGAATGTTGTGTAGCGTACTGTATGTGGCCAGTTGTCAAATTATCTTTGTCTATTTCTCTTTGAATGGGCTTGTAGTGGAAACTCTCCTCTGCAACTACAACTGCCGTTTGTCGCTGACCAGCTGATCCCTTGTCGAGTTTCCCAGTCAAAGCCTCGTGGTCACACAGAGCGGGGTCGGCTACTAGCGACGTCTACCTCCTCCTATATAAAGCTCCCAGACCCAGCCACGCCATGACGGTCCTCCTACCTACAGCCCCGCAACGCCTCTCTCTACTCCACGCCAGCGCTGCCGTTTATTCCTCGACTATATGACGTCATGTTTCCTCACGTTTTCGTTGGGTATTAAAGTACATTAAAAAACATGAATTTTAGGTATAACTATTGTAATGTCTTGGCAAAATATAAACACGCACATACAAAAACCCTATAATCATATAATATTATAACATAACATGGGAACCTTAAACACTAATTGTACAAAAAATATCAAATAGAAGTTAGCATCCTCTGATTTGGTGTAAAATTTATACATCTACCCTGGAATTTCACAGCCTCAGACAAGGATAGTAATGAATTAATAGAGGGAGTTTGCAGAGCGTTTCTGGATTTTGTTTTCATTAAATTCAATTTAAAAAAGAGTCTCTGCATCTGCATTAGATGTTGGAAGTGACAATACCTGCAAAGCAAATGTACAAACGGGCTCAGAAAGCTCATTGCACAACTCTCTTAGCACTCTGGGCCGGGACTCTTATCAACTTTTAGCTTTGACAATTTATTTCTTATAACCTCTTTTATAAACACAATGTGAGTCAACACTGTGTCAACCCGTCTTCTCTTGTGAACACAGAGGAAGATAAATTATTTAATGCATCCGCTTTCTCCTATCAGAATCAGCGTAACAACCATCTTCAAGCACCGGGTTAGTAACGCCTACTCCCGTTTTTAATTTCGACTTTGAGTAGCGGTAAAATTCCTTTGGGTTTGACTTGACCTCACTTGGCATCCACCTCTGGAACTTTTTCAGTCCTTCTACACTCTGACTTTGTTTGGGTCCTGGATCTGGAATATATCTTCTCGTCCTGCTCATTGTTTGTCCTCACCCACATCTTGAATTTCTTTGTTGACCTCTATATGGTTCATGGGTAGCAGTCTCCTTGTATTCCTAGAGGCACTGGGGTATATATTTATTGATCAAATGGTTACTTTAATGGCAATGATATTCAGTGTAGTGTTTGCGTTTTTAAACCTTAGTGAGTCAGACCAGTGGATACCCTACTCCTCCCTCTTCCTGTCGTAATTACCCTTATAATATTTTAACCTTGGCCTGGTTTTGTCACGAACCAAGTAACAGTTAAATCTGAAGGACAATGTTAAATGGTGACTGGTGCCAACGGGGACTAGGTGTTCCAGCTTGGCCACTATACCCTCCTCACTAGTTATGATGAGGTCCAGTGGCTTGGGTTTTTGCTCCCCTCCGTACAGGGTTTACCAACTTATGAACGTCCGACTTTCGAACGCCCACCGATACAAACAGGGTTAAACTTTAAATTACATTATTTTATTTACCTTTTTACTTATTTTTTACTTTCATTGACTGTATTTTGTCATTCTATTTCTTTTTTATCTTAAATTATGTGATTTTAGATGTATAGCAGGAGTTCCAACTTACGTACAAATCCGACTTAAGAACGTCCTCAGAAACGGAACCTGTTCGTAACTCCGGGACCCCTCTGTAATGAAGAGTAACTGGATTATTTAGGTCGTTTGGCGTGGATTCATTTCTCCAGTCGATGCCGCCATAATTGAAGTCCCCCATGATAAGGTGGCTAGGATTCAGCAGTTACATTGTCAATTAAGGCTCTTAAGTTCCTTTGGTTTAATAAGTTACAGTTTATGGATCTGTTGATGCTGTGGGATTTCGAGATGTTGTCTCACACTCATGATGGGTTGGAGAAAGGAAACTCACAATGCGCTCTCTGTATATATATTGTATTGGATGTACAGTGCAGCTTGGTGCTGGGAAGTGGCAGCGTGGTTACAAGTGTGGAGTAGAGAGCTGGTTGGTGAGGAGCTTGCTCAGAGGTGTTGCTGCTTGCTGCGGGGCTGTAGGTAGAAGAAGGGCAGGTCGATACGAAGTCTTTAGTTAAGAGGTGAAAGAAGATTATTAGGGGTTGAAGGAAAAGTGGTGAAACTGAAATACAGTAGGAGTAGAAAGAATCTGGGCTCACGGCGAGGTGAGGTCTTATATAGCGGAGGTAGGCGTGGCTGTAGCTGACCTCGCTTTGTTAGGCTGCGCTAGTAGCCGACCTTAGACCACGAGGCGTTGGCTGGGAAATTCGAAAAGGGGTCAGCTAGTCAGCGAAAAATGGCAGTTGTAGTTGTAGGGAAAATTTCCACTACAATACCACCAACAGTAAGCAAGTCTCTCCCCTTTAATTTAATTTTACACCACTTGGATTTTTCAAAAACATCCTCTCCCTGTACCCTAATAGTGGATCATCTCCCCAACAAATACAACTGCCATTTGTCGCTGACTAGCCGACCCCTTTCGAATTCCCCTGCCTACGCCTCATGTCTAAGGTCGGCAACCAGCGCCGCCCTACAGAGCGGAGGTCAACTATCAAGCCACGCCTACCTCCGCTATATAAGACCTCACCTCTTGGTGACCTCCCTTCTACCTACAGCCACCAGCAAGCAACACCTTCTCCGAGCAAGCTCCTCACCAACCAGCTCTCTCTACTCCACGCTTGTAGCCAAGCTGCCACTTCCCAGCAACAAGCTGCATTGTACATCCAATATAATATGTATACAGACAGCACATTGTGAGTTTCCTTTCTCCATCCCATCCTGAGTGAACTAATATCTCGTACCCCACACCCTTACCTGGCTGGCTCTAAGGTCTTGTCTAGCATAGATAACCACACCCCTCTTGCAAGTTTCTTGAGAAAGGTTTGTAAACAAGTCATATCCATCTATATTGAATTTGCATTCCTCTAGGTCGATTCTCCTGTTCTTGTACAGCAGTTCTACTACACCTGTTATATCCCGAATGATGTACTTTGAGTAGGGTTTCAAATTCCCCTCTCTTATCAAGGAACATGTTAGTACTGTAATAGTTTCCATGACTTTCAAGCTGGAATTTGTTCTGGGTAACGTCTTTGATCTTGGAGTTGCAGCATTTGCTAAATACGTTGTATTTTACACTGTGTGGTGAGAGATGTCATTGTTTACATGGCGTTCGCCTCCTCTTGGATGGGAGGTGTCCCTCTGTCCCCTGGTTCTATGCTGGCGGTCTTGCTCCCACTGCCCTCCCCTTGTATATAACCCATGTACGTCTGTCCTCATTCCTCATCGAAGCCTCCCTCCTTTCCTTCAAGTACCGTAGGAGTTTTTTGTGCTGTTTCCTCTGCATCGATCCTTGCAGCTTTAAGTAAAAATAATAAATGTTGAGGATATTGAGGTGTTATTGATATCCTTGAAGCATGATATGAAGACTTGGATGAATAGGAAAAATATAAGCTGAATTATAGCAAACTAAAGTTATCTTCATCCGAATATATAGGAGGGTGACAGCACAGATGATTTTGGCTCATTATAAACTTTGGGGAACTACAACAAGGGTGCATCCAAGGGTTCCCAATCCCTCCTCCCCCCCCCCCTTTTCACCAGAAAATTCCAAGACTTTTTCTTTATTACACTAATGTACTCAGTCAGGCATTTTTTATAGTAAAAAGTATTTACTATAGACTTCAGAATATCTCCTAATATCAAGTGCACATGGCCTCAAAATGCCCATGACAGTGGTCAGATTTCAAAAAAATCTTCCAGGGGGTCGGGGAGGGAGGGTCGGCGGCTAATAGCACCCCCCCCATTCCCCCCCCAAAAAAGAAAACAAAATCCCAGCTGGGTGGGCTCGCTATGCTCACCATGTCCCCTCACCCACAACTTCTTGGAGGCCCCCTTTTGATATTCCTGGATCCGCCTCTGTACAACTCAGTCGTGTCGATTCTATTAAAATTTTTGGAGTTTACTTTATATATTACTCATCGTTTTATTTCGTTATTTATTTGTCGTCGTTGATTTTATTAATTTCATTCATTCATTTACAGTGACCCCTCGTTTAACGAACACCTCGGTTAACGTAATTTCGATAAACAAACTCCCTTCCATAAGGATCTTCAATTCGGTTAACGAAAAAAAATTCGGTTAACGAAGTTCTTACAAACCGACCTCAACATGTTTTCGCTTGCACTGACCGGGCAACCAGCTTTAGTATCAGTCCGCCAATACATTAATCGGTCCTAGGGCTTAAATTCCTTACTATTTTAGTAAATATCAAGAAGTTTATACTATTCAATAATTTTAAAAGTTTAATATTAAATTTTTTTAGTCATTTTAAGAATTATTGAACATAATTGAAGGTAAAGTGACTAGTTTAATGCGCGGCATCCAGCCTCTTAACACAGCAAACAGGAGTTAGTCTCTCTCTGTTTTCACTGGAGGTAACATCTTGCTTGAGACTCTCTTCAACTAAACGCTTTTTTTCTGTGTTTCCAAGCAAATTATTGGTCATTTTGAAATTTATTTTACATATTGACAATATATAATGCAGTGCAGTGTTGATTTAAAGAAAATAATCTTGAATTACACCAAGAGCGCTAAAATTTTATGGGTGAAATGGCGCCATGGGGTGACTTCTCTTCCGCCCCAATGCCTTCTCTTCTTCCTTCTCCTCCACCCCCATTCTAAATCCCATCATCATCATCATCATCCAGGAGCCTTCTACATTCACACCTCAAAGTAAGTGAACTTTTCTTCCACTTTTGTTGAATTTAGGAAATTTTCGGTGAGCTGGAACCAATTACCCAAAAACCCGTTGAAACAATGGTTTCGGTTAACGAACGACCTTTCATGTAGATCCACAATAAAAACGTGGATAAGATAAATCTTGATAAAATCACACAGGAAAAGGGGAAACAACAGAGCACCTTAGCTTTCGTCTTTATTCAAGACATCTTTAGAGGCAACTGGATTAAATGGAGAGAGAGAGGCTTAAATATACAGGGTGACCTTAAAAACATGAGGTTAGGTCATAATGCTGTCATCCACTAATCCCCACACCAACACACACATAGAGGAGCTAAAGAGAAGGGGGATGACGTGACTAGTCAGGTCAGGTCAAAAATAAGGGACCCACTAAATAACTACCATACATCTAGATCAAAGGTTTTCAAAGCATTTTTAACCTTGGGCCACTGACAAATAAATTTATGTAACATATTATCAGTTTTGAACTGACCATCACTAAGGTTTGATTAAGGAATTAAAATCAATAAGCCAGTGTGCAGTGCCTCTTCTCATTGCACATTTCTTCCTGGGTATACTTCTTAGCAAGTGTTCCTTTAATCTCCAATCTTGTACCATCTTCTCGGTTACATCGCATTCTCTTGGAGCAGCACAATTGTTGTGTGACTAGGCATATGCTACCACTTTCAACTTAAACAAGCTTCATATCTCCTGCATTTAGCATTTGGAGCCATGATGGGGTTTTATGGTAGCTGGATATTAATATAATGTTCACCTGGAGAGCTTGCTATTGCTTATGAAGGAGTGGCGACTTGATAGGTTGAAAAGGCAGCTGAGAGAAGGGGTATCACGTTTGGAGATGGATTACATGACCTCACATGAGGTCACCTCACATAATGTACCCACAGAGGGCAACTTCACTTTACCTGGAGATCAGACAACGATATCCTCACAAAATATGACGGTTGAGGATGACCTGATCACGAGATCTGAAGTTGACGAGTTCCACAACAATTTAAATAATGAGTTACTTAATGCACAAAGGTAGAACATACCATCCAGAAAACTCAGATCAAACAACAATGACCCTAAATGGATAAATAATTATTTAAAGAATATTATTGGACAAAGGAAGGTAGAAGAATAAATTGTGGTGAAGTTTGCCTCCGAGATTATAAGGTATTGGCCAGTACGGTTAAGACCGAGATAAGAAAAGCAAAGAGGAATAAAGAACTGAAGGTAGCAAGGGAGGCAAAGTCAAACTAAAAAGCGAGAAAAGATTGGACCAATAAAGTCAGATGCCGGCGAGCTAACTGATAACCATCGAAAATTTAAACATAATACCCGAGGCACCGACTATATACAGAGATAGTGAAGAAAATAAATTAAGCAAGATAGTAGTGACTAGTAACGATGTTAGTAAGTAAATAGACAAACTAAAGCCTAATAAATAACCAGGTCCCGATGAGATATTTGCCAGAGTATTAAAGGAATGTAAGGAAGAGCTAAGTACAGTATGTCTTTAGCAAAGTTGTTTAACATGTCCTTAAAAACGGATGTAGTACCAGAATCCTGGAGGATGGCGAATGTAATACTGATTTTCAAGAAGGGAGATAGATCACTAACCTTTAACTACTGTCCAATGAGCTTAACATCAATTGCAAGCAAATTATTGTTAGAAATAATTTCACACTCCATTCAAAATCATCTGGAGAAGCCAATAGGCCCGCTGCAGTTTCCTCCATTCTTATTTTCTTAAAGACTGCTGTCTGTTAAGGATGGCTGTTTGTTTACTTCAGCAGCAGTGGCAAATGGCGGGCGGTGCGTGATGATAGCTGCGTTTATTATGTTGTTAGTTTTCGGTATGTTAGACAGGTTTATAATATGTTTTAATTATTTTAATATACACAATAAACCAAAGGATGTAGAGGTTCGGATTTTATACCCGACATTTAAGACGACCCCTAATTTTGGGCTGATTTTTTTAAGGTTCAAATTACATATACGGTAACTTATACAGTATGGCCAGAATGAAGAGAGCACACATCTCCTGCCATTCACTCACTAACTGCGGTAACAAATAAGTACTATGGTGTGACCTTCCACATATGGTCTTATGATATTAATTTTGTTTATCCATGTTACTTTACACAGTATGGCTTCATATCCAATATCAAAATTAATTTTCTACAAGTCTAGCATCCATCTGAATTTATGGGTGAACTTGGTAACTGATTATGTTGTTATGCAGTGCTAAAGCTAATTGGCTGGTATGGGATGGATGCCTTATGATTGGTGTCCTCTGCATCAAGCTCCTATAGTGTGAGGAGTTTTTGTGAGAGCCCTTCAATGCATATTTACTGCAATACTGTACAGGGGGTCCCTGAGTTACGAATGTCCGACTTACGAACACCCGTCGATACGAACGAAGTCCCATTAGGTCAATTACTTTAAGAATTCAACCTAGGTACAACTGGTTCATAGTATTAACGTATGAGAACTAGTTTGTGTGGCGTAGTGGCCAAATGCAAACCTGCTGCAAGTGAGAGCAATGTATCCAAGAAAACGAAAACAAGCACAATGGAAGTGAAAGTTGATGCAATTAAACGTTCTGAAAAAGGTGAAATACCCCTAGTCATTGGTAAAGAGCTGGGTTTAAGTCGGTCAACGATGAGAACAATTTTGAAAGAAAAACACAAAATTTTTGAACATGCAAGAGGATCAACACCAATGCACTCAACTGTGATAATAAAAAGAAGTGTATTCTTAAATGAAATGGAAAGATTGTTAGTGATATGGGTGGAAAATCAGCCAGCCCCAACGTTTCAGTGTAAGTGTTAAACTTTAATATTTACTTTTCTTGATTGTATTTTGTCTTTCAATTTCTTCTTTTCTCTTAAATCAAGTGATTCAAAATGTATAAAAGGACTTAGGATATGTTATAGTGCACCTAGGGTATGAGTTCCGACTTAAGTACATTTCTGACTAATGCACGTCCTCAGGAACAGAACTCATTCGTAACCCAGGGATCCCCTATACACATAAAATGCTTTTGCGACCCAGTAAAGTACAGATGCTGTGGAGTGTTGTGGTACAGTATTGAATCACCAGAAACATGCCGAAAGTAGTGCCACACAAGATAGGGTCTACTCATAAGGTCACCCGGGCAAGATTGCCAATTCACCAAGTGATACCTGTCCAGATGACCTCACAACCATAACCTACAGTAAAAAAAAAAAAAAATTATATATATATATATATATATATATATATATATATATATATATATATATATATATATATATATATATATATATATATATATATATATATATATATATATGCCTTGTATACCAAATTTCATCATACTGCATACTTAAACTATTGACTAAAAATTCCTAATAAAAACACTTAACAAGAATAACTCAAGATTTAACATATTCTAACCATACTTAATCTTAGGAAAACATATAATATGACTTTCCAAGATCAATGTTTATCATTTTAAACTGCTTATCAGTAAGACTCTGCCACTTATAACCCAAAATCTGAGAGACTTCACGTTCCATGGCTTCATAGGATCGTGCATTCTTGCAAAGCCATTCGTAGAATTCTGGGGTCCAATCTGGATTAAAAGGCCAATCTGCCTAAAAAAAAGAAGAAAAAAAAAGAAAAAAGCTATTACACATACTGCATTGTATTGTATTTTAAACTTCTCATGTCCACTTAACCAACTAACAATGAAAATAGTAAAACATTAAAATAATTTTTAATACAAATAAATGACTACAGTACACAAAAATCTTGAAACTACAATTCCTCACTTCAGCTCATAGACTTGGATAAGCTGAAATGAGAATGGTGAGATGAATGAATAATGTGATGTTGAGAGATAGGAAACTCTGTTCATTGTTAAAATGGCAGCTAGGTAGTGACAGTATTGGCAAGGTTTTGAGTAGATGTACAGCATGCTCTTACAATTCGCAAATTTTTAATTCGCGGCCTCCAATTATTTGTGGATGACACCTTGGATGTACCCAAGAATGTCTGCAGGTAGTTTTAAAAGTTGGTGGCATTTTCACAGCCAGGACGGGGAGCCCGCAAGTTTTATGGCAGCCCGTAAGGTGTGTCTCTTTTCCCGGTTGGCTGGCCCACGTGCGCTCATTCCATCTCAGTCTGGGATAGATACTTGTCCGTTTCATGCATGTGCTACGTTACTCTTAACTGTCCTCCTTGTGCTTGTGATGGCTCCCAAATGCCCTCAACCACTTTTATCCAGCCATGGGAAGGTGCCCAAACAATTAAAGAGAGAAAAGTTCATGCATTTTTCTCATACTACGTACACCTGGCAATTGGAGAGCGAGTGACTGCTAGTTAGGGCGTCGTTTGCAGTTGTAACTCTCCCCTTCCCTGCCATATTTCACTGGATTTACTGTTATTATTAGTGTTTAGTAATAGAATAGGGTTTAATAGTGATAAATCATGCCATTGTAGCTAGGTTAGCTCATCATTGTAACCACTAGGTTACTGGGACAAGCTGTGAGGTGTTATGGTTGTTTTTCAACTCGTATTTTTGGGTAGATATATGTGCAACTTTCTTTATTTATTTTTACTCAGTTACATGCACACACCATCATACATACATACTGTGAAAAAAGGTAAAAGAAATAATTGTCCTAAAGGCAAACACGTAATGGGAAGAGAGCGCAGAGTGTAGCTGGTAGGGAGAATTGCTAGGGAATCTGCGTCCCAGCTGATCTTCGTTACTTTGGTGGAGCAGGTAATGTATGCAAATGGCGACTTTGTTAAACTTTCACTTGACTTTTATTTACTGGTTGGCAATAGTACTTTTTTTTAAACTTATTTATTGGTATATGTATTTTTATTTATTCCTCACATTTCCTTGTACAGTACTGTATATTTTGAGAAAACTATGGCTGTGAGGTGTTATGGTTGTTTTTCAACTCATATTTTCGGGTAGATACAGTATACTTAACTTTCTTCATTTATTTTTACTCAGTTACATGCACACATCATCTTACATACATATTGTGAAAAAAGTACTGTTACACCACAATTACCGACATCCTTCATGTTGGGTTGGCTAGATGGCTATGAAAAAAATTTTGTAAGCTTGATCTACGTATTAACCCAACTGGTGCTCAGATGCCATTCGTTCTAGAGACTTAATTTTATGGGGAAAAATTGCTGTATGGCAACCCAACTTTAATAACAAGGCATGGAATTGACTTAAGGGTAGACTCAAATTTTTTCTACATTTCAATACATTTTGTTATCTTGTTTCTGATTATTTATGAGAGGATTTTTCCCCGGTCAGCAAATGATATTTACGGTTTTGGCAATTCGCGGCCATTTTGAGACCCAAACTCCTGCGAATTTTAAGGGCTTGTTTTATGGTGAGATGGTTCAAAGATGTGGAAAGAATGAGAACAACCTAAATCAAGATATGCATGAATCTGAATGTGGAGGCAAGGAGAGCCAAGGGTAGGCCAAAAACTACATGAGGAAAGGTTGTGTGGCATGACCTCAGAGTAATGCACCTGATAAAGGAAGCTGAAAGATACTGAGCATATCCTGGAAAGCTGCCATCAGGTTATTACAGATAACCCAGGAAAGTTCAAACAATGGCTGTAATAGGACGAGGATGATGATCTTAGTGATATTAGTTTCTCTTTGCAAATTTAATGTGAAGGATTGACACATATTACACATTTCCCATATTACAGCCAAGGAGAAAGAGAGTTATCTGTGAGATCTAATCCAGTAAACCATCTCTGATAGAGCCTGCTTACTGTCAGGGGCTTGGGTGATTAACAGCAGGGTACACAATCTAGGCAGACAAGCCAAATAATGTTATTACTGCAAAAAGCACTTTCTCTCTTAGATGGCTCTGGGCTGAAAGTTTGATCTTTTCTGAACAAGTGGTTGACTCTGTCCAGTAAAGATTCAGGTCAGAGCCATAAACTATGGATATGATACAAACTCTGAATTCCTCAAGACCATACAAGGAAATTCATAGAAAAATCTGACATTACAATACAGATAACTTCGAATGTTTCATAAAAGTTTACCTTGTTTTTTATCTTATTTACCTAATAGCCACCCACTAGAGGTAGCTATACTGAGGGAAGGAGGCCAGTGGCCTGTGTAGGATCCCTCCATTGTTCTTGACAATTTTGCCAAGGGGTATTTTGAAGTCCAGTATTGTTTTGATTCCACAGATTAGACTGGTAGACTGATCCATAGATCTACCACCCTCTAGTGTGAAAACTTATTTCTTTATATTTGTTCTGTATGAAAATTGGGCAAGCTTGTAATTATGTCCTTTTATGTTGGTGGTGCATGACATCACAAAGAAATGTCCCAGGTTCATGTTTTCCATCCCTTTCAGGATTTTTAATGTTTCAATGAGTTTTGCTCTATTGTGCCTTCTCTGAAGGATTGTTTGTTCACCTGATCCTCTGAAATGGACCCACCCTCTTCTGCTGACACAATTTCACAAACCAATTACACATACCTTTATATGGAATTTTTATTCCCAATTTCATCCTTACAAAAAAAGCCGAGACCCCTTGCTGGTTAAATCTTTCTTGCTAAAGGGCAACAGGGCTCAAACATGCCGCCTACAGACACTGGAAACATTAATAAAAGCAACAGACCTAAAGCACATACAATAATGCTTGGGACCAGAATAAATATAACTACAGTATCAACAAAGCAGAAACTCTTTCCTTCTGTCCAAAACATAATTCCTCCATGCTGAACTCACTTATAGCAAATACTTCAGGTTATTAACCCTTTTGCTGCAATTCCCACACTTACTATTTTATTCTGGCTACTGCAAGACGATTTTATTCAGTTTAGGGTGACCTCCCACAGCCAAAGGGTTAAGCAAATAATTTTACAACAACCTCTCTAACCCTAACATACCATACTTCAACTCACCTATCTTGATCTCATAAGTGCATAAAACCCATTTCTAGGGTTCCATATTAACCTAAAATTCAACCCTTGATCCTGGTAACAACATACCCCTTCTACTTGCTCAAAATTCATCTCATCCCAAGCAACCACTAAAATTTCACACCTCTTTACTCTTTTTTTTTTGTTTTTTCCAGCCTAAATTCGAATAAAGCCCTATGACCTAATGCTATCCCACCCCAAATCCTCAAGACATGTGCACCTGAACTTACACCTGGCCTTTCCAACATTTTCCACCTCTTTTACTTTTTTAATACTATTACCACATCTTGAAAATTAGCCAGAGGTCAACCCATTTCTGAAAAAGTAGACCCCCCCCCCTTCAGTTATCATCCCATTGCCTGGTTCTCATCTTAATCATCTTCAAAGTCACAGAATTACTCAAACACTTTCAAGAAAACCAACTCCTCTCTGTCCATTCCTGTTATCCCAATGTCATGGTCACAATTGCACGGCTAGTATAATCAACACTTAATTACCAGGTATTCATATTATGCTCCGCTGTCCACAAAACAAGTGTGAAACTAATAAGTTACCCCTACGAAGAGACTTTTTTTTCCCTAGCGAGAGGTGCCATCCGTTTTTTCAATGTCCTGAAGTATTCTCTTACAATGTAAATTGAAAGTTTTGAGATAACCTGTATGAGTAGCCATAAGTCAGATACAGTATACCTACAGAGGGAGAAAGCATTCAAGATGTATTGAGTATGTGTTGAAAGTATCATATATCTATATGTGTAGAGTACATAGGGTTAAGAAGATGCGATTTGAGTGTCCAGCCACCATCTGGAATCAAATTATGTTTCATGTGAAGCTACGATATGACCGTTCACAATTGAAGTTGAATTTCCTTGATCTACAGACCTCAGAGAATCTGATGAGCTTATTGAAATTATTGTCAATTTTGTTAATATCACCTTAGTTAAGTGATTAATGTAATCTTACACAGTACGTTCTGATAGAAAAACCTGGATGGTGGCAGCTACCATGAGTATTGAAGATTGTAACATAACAAGGGGTTTCCCAGGTAAGCCCTAGGTCAGAATATAACTTGATAAGAGAAAAGTAACAAAGAACAGAAAACAGAGAATCAAGTACAGGGTATAAAGAAATACAAGGAAGATTTAAAGGAAGAATTAAGAAATAAAGATAAAAATAAGAGAGAAGAAAATTCACCCTATATAAAGTAAACCTTCCACCCCCCTTCACCAACACAGACCTACTTGACTAAAAACCTTGTTAAGTTCAGAGAATATTGTTGTCTTTGATATTTCTAGAGTTTTGATAAAGTCTGATATCAAGCTTTCCTTAACAAATTTCCTTCTTTTGGACTCCCTGGTTCTCCAATTTCCTAGATTTCCTCCTTTCTTTCCCTTTGTCACAATTGTGTAGTAGTGGAAATTTTACCCTCGGACCACTGTCACATCTCTGTTGAGGTACCTCAGGGCTTAGTTCTTGTTCCTGCTTTCTTCTTGTTTCATATTAACAACCTACCCACTCTTCTTTCCAGCAGCACACACTCCTTTATTGATGATACTCATATCCACAAAAAGTATATCCTACTGCTCCAAAGCTTGTGTCATGTCTCTCACAAATAGACTAAGTGCCACAGTCCCTTACACAGCGAGGTATTGTTTCATGCATTCATTAATGTACCCATTATACCAGTCACCGGTGTTAATATCTTTGGTTTTACTTTTACTAATAACCTCTCCTGACACACACTCACACACACACACACTCTTCCTCTTTCAGGATTGTCCGTAGATTCTTGAAAGAGGAAGCCTAATTTGTTTGGTTTAGCCTTTGTAAAACTTCTAACTGTTTACAATAGTCATCATGAGTTCCAATATTGCTCACACATGCAGGGACGTATTCCATTGTTCTTATCACTGTCATTTAATATATTGTCTGGAGCTGTTTGCCTTATCAATGACCAGTCCTTTTCTTCTTCCATATCAGACAGTCTATCTTTTTACATTTTCTTTTCAGCTGCAACTTCCATGATCAGTGTGCCAATGAAATCTAATCCACCATCCCCACTCTTACCAACACAAGTGGCAAGACAAGTCATTCCTTATTCTGCTATCCCTGCTGTGTGCAAGTTTTCTTTAGTTGAACCTCAACATCATGCTTCACATATATCCTTATGAATTTATGTTAAATTATTTGTATCAATACATGAGATATGATCCAGACAAAGCTTTGAATTCTGACCTTGATGTTCATCACACTAGCACAATAACAATATATACTGTACATCTGTACATAATGGTTAGATACTTTTACAAGCTTAGTCAATCCAACTGTAACTATAGGACCAGTTTATGTTAACAATATAAAACATGCTTTAAGCTTCATATGCAAAATCCAAAACAATAGTTAAAAAGGTTCAGAGAAAAAAAAATCTTCCACTAACCTTAAGAATTATTGCATTTCTACGCAGGTAGAAGTACATCAGGTTCTTTGCAGTATGAGCCACCAAAAGAACTGTTGCTGTGGAAACTTTTTCTCGGACAACCTAGATGAATAAAGTAAAATTCATTACAGTACAGTGTACAAGGAAAGACAAAAGTCGTGTCGTGAAATTTGGTGAAAACATATGCCGAAGGGCTAAAACTTTTGGTGCGGTCTGCCTTGTAGTAAGGGGCTCTCATAATGTTTCACAAGTTATATTTAATCTTCGGACAAAACCACGACACGACTTTTGTCTTTGATTGTACATGCGAATTATAAATAAAATTTTTAATACTGTACAGATATAAACCTACAAATCTGGACACCATGGGACCAAGACCGAATTGGTTTTGAGGATTTTTCTGGTTTCCTGTGTCCTAGGCTAGGCTAAACTTTCTTTCTGAGGTCATCCATCTGTCACCCTAGCTTTACCAGCAGGCTACATTAAGTTTTGCTTACACACACTAAGGTAAGTAACCTTCAAGGTATAATACACAAAACCAAAGCTATACAGGGCTGCCTCACTTATCGCAAAGGTTACCGGCATAAAACTCTTTGCGAATATCGAAATTGCAAATAGCGGAGCAATTTCTCCCATAAGAAATAATGTAAATAGAGGGGATACGGGCATCACAGTGGTCACAGCCGTCAGATTTTAACACTTGTTTTACTCAATACATTTAGAACATAAAATAAATAAAGAAACAAGGGCATAATATCAAATAAACATCAATTACAAACACTTTGAGTTCATTAGGTGTACCTGTATATGTTTACAAGTACAGTATACAGGGGTAATTTACATGTTTGAGTGTGTGAGCGTTTGAATGTTTATGTGCGTAGGTGTGTGAGGTAAGTTTTAAACGTAGACATCACGGAACCTCGTCACCTTCGTAGCCATCAGTGATCTTGCAGACCCGGCCATCTCCTTGATCTTGTCAGCGCTTTTAACTATAGAATACACCATAGAGGGAGCCAAACCGTGCACGCGCCCAATCACTGACGTTCCTTCTCCGTGTTCATGTCTTTTTGCGATATCCAATTTCACATCCAACGTAACTGCCACACGTGATCCCTTAGCAACATTGCTGGGAGTTTTAGTAACTGGTCACTTCGGCATTGTGAGATCACACAAAACACACGCCAGCACGTGTGAGACTGAGGCGAGCAGGAGCGTATGGCGGAGGAATACGTACAGACGCTGTCCTACGCCATAGTTGAGGCGCACGGTTCAAAATTTTTGCTTGTAAGAATTTGTGAATAAACGGGGCAAGCATTACGAATAGTGGAAATTGGTAACAATAAATTGATTGCGGATAAACGGGGTTACGAATACCGAGGCTATGAATAACGGGGTTTGCCTGTAGTAACCCTATTAGTTTTAGCCTTTACAGGTCTATGGCACAGTATAATATAATGCCCTTTATTGCAGTCACTTAATCCTAGGGTTTTCTTAACTTAAGGTCGCTGCCACCAGACCTCAGGACAGTATGTGCGGTGTTCTTTAGGTAGCTGGCAAAGCAGTCCAGGCACTGTGAGTTTTGTATTTTCATTTATCAAGTTGAGAGTGGAAGGAAGGGTGAAACACCAACCAGTATCCTTAGCTATTTATTTTAGACATTAAAAATATTGCATTCAGTCACAATACAAAAATAATTGAGCTTTCCCAAGAAATTATTGATGGTCCCCGCACCACACAAAATTACTCGACCTTCTGCCAGATACTTAAGGTCTTCTCCTCTCCATGCAAAATAATTGACCTCCTTACCTAGGTCAATCCTCCTCCAATACCACCAAAATACTCAACAGCACCTGAATAAGGAACATTCAATAATACACACAATACATACAGGTACTGTAGCTCATTCTTAGCACCAAGGTACACACAGTAGGTACCCGTCTCACACTCGACTATTGTTAGGTAGATGAGATCCTTCCCAGACATTCATACCAGGACTATTTCTGCGTCCGGTATCATTAGGTCGTTTAAAGTAGCGACCGTGAGCACCTCAAGTAGCACCAACATCTCTTCACATCCAGGGTGCTAAAGTGTGAGATATCCAGAGATCCATAGTGGAGGTTGCATAGCAGCCATAAGCATTACCCACAACACCAGGTGGGTTCCTCAAAGTAAAACAGTTGTTGCTAGGTCAAGCATTCCCTCCGACCTCTGCTTGTCCCTCTCCATACTCGTCACCGCTCACAGGCATGTACCCCTCGAAACTGTAGCCGCGGGTGGTTTAGGCGCCAGTGCGAACAAAAGCCTTGGTTCTTTGCTCGGGTATATCCACTTCACTTTACTCCCTCTGTATGGTTCATTCCCCCACACTTTTCATTTGTTTAACACGTTCATAAGATTCTCGAATCATTACACTGTTCGTGGCTATTTGTCACATGGGGTAACGATGTGTTTTCAGCTCACACCGAGGTACATAAGATGTTTTTCTTGGAATACAGGTATCTCACGTTTTACGCTCGTTTTATTTAAGAGTTTTTGGAATAATGCGATTGTTCAATTAATACCAAAAGTTAATTTGCGCGCACCTATGTTTGAAATAACGCGCTCAAGACAGTTTAAATTTGCCAGTGTAGTCGCCTGGTCGCCTGACAGCGGAGTCGCGTGTGATGCCTGGTGAGGTGCTTGTAAGTTATTACTATAAAGTCGCAGTCATATCAACATCAACGATTTTAATATTATTAATACAGGTAATAATAATTATTATAATAATTATTATTAATATTAATAATTATTATAATAATGTAATAATAAAGATCATTACTACTAATGATGAAGATAATGATGATAATGAAGTATTCTGTACAACAACTGTGACCACGTCCAACAAGCTTTCTCAGTTCACACCAGCACTACTTTTTCTCTGTGCTCTCATTTGCATTGTGTTTTTATCACGTACTTTTTAGTGTTAAACGCTGTTTTCTCCATTGAGCATGTCTGGAAAACATCCATCTGCCTCCTCTGGGGCGCCTAAAGCTAAAATGGCACGAAAAACAATCGCAATGGACGTAAAATTAAATGTGATCTCCCATCTTCAGAGAAGTTGGCCGTGTGTTTGGTTTAAGTGAGAGCACTGTTCGTACCCTGTGCGGTATATGATGGTTCCCTTAACCTGTACCATTTACATGTACAGGTATTCTTAGGGGAAAATTTTGTTTAATTTACGAGTTTTTTAATTAAGTGGTGGTTTTCAAGAACGTAAACCCCGCATAAAAAGAGACGTGGGTTTAGCTTATGGGTCAACCCCAACACTTCATATATGCCTGATACATTTACCATTTTCCAAGATCATTGTTCTCACATAATTTCATCTGATACCTGAGGTAGCTATGTTTACTACCATATTTTACGGTCTATAAGGCACATGACCATATAAGACACACACCCCGATTTTATCAGGGAGTATTTAGGAAAAAACTTTTGAGAGTATTTCCTTCCTGTAGCCATAGTTTTCTTAAAACAATATATACAGTCCCAGTAAATGTGAGGAATAAATAAAAATCATGCCAATAAATAACTTACAATAAAAAATACTCTATTACCAAACCAGTACATAAAAGCTAAATGAAAGTTTAACATAGTCGCCATTTGCATATACTGTACATCTTTACTCCATGTTTAACAGAGTAACGGCGACACTACCTCCGCCAAATCCCTAGCAACGCTCCCCACCAACCGCCAGCCGTTCTCCCGCTCCCCCACTAATCCAGCTAACTCATGTGCAAAGAAATGTATATTCCTTTTATGTGTTTGCCCTTAGGACAATTATTTCTTATGCTTTTTTTCACAATAAATGAAGAAAGTTACATATATCTACCCAAAAATACAAGTTGAAAAACAACAACTTCCCAGTAGCCTGGTTACAAAGACGATTCTAGCCTGGCCACAATGTCGCCAGCAATGTTAACAGATGTAAATGTGAAAAGAAAGTTATCTGTAAATTTTCATTTGTATCAGATATTTGTAGATTGAAATAGCTTGCGGGAGACTGCAACTTCACATATAGGATGCAGGCTGATTTTTTTAGTAATTTTTCTGACAAAAAAGTGCGTCTTATATGCCATAAAATACGGTAATCATACACAGACATAAATGCCATAACCTTCAGACACGTTCACACTGATTCACCATAGTACACTTGTCCGTACCACTTGGGCCTTCCCAATCATCATATAGGTACCTTGAGTTCTCCCTTAATATTATCAGTATACATACTTAAGAATATATGCCCGGACACTGGTATAATTCATATGAAACAACATAAAGCACACGAATTACCCCTTCCAAATGTTTACACTCCCCACTATGCAGCTGTATTATGAATCAGAAGAGGTTACAGAGACTAGTGCTAATGCACGCAGTACAACAATAGTCTAAACAACTCCTTTCCGTTTCTAAAAGCAAGTCAGCTAGGTTTGTTCATGTCCCAGTAGCTTCTCGCAAGTCATAAGATGTCGGACAAGGCTGAGAACTTTAATTTAACTTTAAAACGATGTGAACATATGATAATATACTATGAATGTTAATGGATGTAAATAAAGAAATTAGTATTTATGAATTGTCTATTTCTCGCAAAGTCTCTTTACTGGCAAGAAGGTGCTGGGATGATATTTTCTTTTATTTCGTCTGGATTTACGCGGTTTTGGTTAACGCGTTTGGTCATTTAAGCGGTGCCTTGCCAGAATCGAAATGCTTTAATTACGAGGTAAATTTGGTAATTTACGCGGCGAGTCGCTGGAGGGTCCAGACGCGCCGCGCCATTTTTTATTCAAGCAGCCCACCATCCCGTCATGCTTGAGCACAAGCGGCGCGAGTAAGGTTGCGCAGTATGTCGCTGTTGCGTTATCGGTGACGTCATATGATGTATCGGACTGTGATTGGGCCACGCATCCTTACCTCCCTCTCCCGCTAGCTGTGATTGGTTCAATGTAATATGACGTGCCCTGCCAACACAGAGAAACCGTTACCCTCGTCAGTCGCCCTCTTCCCAGTCACCCCGTGTATACTGTACTGTGCTCTATATTGTTACCGCTAATCTCGTAAGAATGGCATCTGCTGGACCCCCACCACCACAGAAAAACCTTGCATTACCTGGACCCAGCCGCTCCAAGCCAAAGAAGATACGACGTGCCCTAAGTTACAAAGTTAAGTACAAGATCGTACAAGAGTTAGAAAAAGGAACGAGGCAAGTTGATTTAGCACGCCAGCATGGCGTGAACGAATCTACGATCCGGACGATCAAGAAGGATGCCGCCAAGATAAAAGAACACATGAGCATCACAAAGTCTGCAGGTGCTTCAATGGTGAAGTACTGCCAGAACAAGGTGCTGCTCAAGACTGAGAATTTGCTGGTGAGCTACTTGATTCATCAGGCAAGACGGAACATGGAGGTGGACACGCGCTCAGTTCAGAACTACGCACATGAAGTGTACGTAGCAGTGGCACGTAAGATGGGAATTGCAGAGCCCAAACCCTTCACTGCTTCCTCTGGGTGGCTGCAAGGGTTTAAGAAGAGGAACAAGATCACCAACATTAACATTGTTGGTGAAGGAGCGAGTGCTGACCGTGCTGCGGCCATGGATTTTCCTCCATTCTTACGAGAAGTTATGGAGGAAGGACAGTACACCGACGACCAGGTGTTCAACATGGATGAATCCGGTCTGTTTTGGAAAAAGCTACCTACCAAGACCTTCCTTGTCAAGTCTGCCAGCAAGTGTCGGGGCAGGAAATTGCAGAAGGAGCGCATCACCGTTTTGTTTACCACCAATGCCTTCGGTACCTGTAAGCTCAAGTTATCAGTGATCCACACAGCCCGCAAGCCGCACGCCTACAAGAACATGGACATGACCAAGCTAAATGTCCACTGGCTAACCGCACGTAAGGCGTGGATGTTCACTGCTCTGTCCCTCTCCTGGATTGACGACTGTTTTGTTCCCGATGTCAAGAAATTCTGCGAGCAACAGAATGTTCCATTCAACAATTTGTTGCTCCTTGACAACGCACCAGGACACTCGCCCCTACTGTTGGATCGTCACCCCAACGTAAAAGTGGTCTTCCTTCCTCCCAACACTACGTCGTTAATCCAGCCCATGGACCAAGAGTTGATATGCAACGTTAAGGCTGCATTCTCTGCAAAGAAGTTTAAGCTCCTGAATGACTGTACCAACACCAAGGATGAGTTGCGTAACCTGGGTGACACCGATAGCGAGAGCGACAATGAGAAAGAAGTTGGCGGAGCAAGAAGTTCGCGTCAAACAGTTTTGGAAGAAATTCAACGTCAAGAAAGCTGTTGATTTCTTGGTGGAGGCATGGGGGCAGTTGTCTGTGGCAACGATTTGTCACGCATGGCGGCATGTGTTGCAAGGTATCCCAGGTGGGAGGTAGAGTCAACCTGTGACTGGTGAGGTTCAATCTGTTGCAGTGGCAGTGGACCTTGCAAGAGAAGCTGCGCAGTGTTACAGCTGCAGGCTTCTCCGAGACCACCAAAGAAGACATTATGGAGGTGATCAGGGATCCTGAGGTGACTGCCGACGAGATGTATGAAGACGATGATGTCAGTGAAGATGCAGGTGGTGCGTCATCCCGAGAAGAACACAAGTTAACACATGGTAATGTAAAGGATGCCATCGAGTTTGCAGAGAAACTCAAACTCGTCCTTCCCAATGACCCTGACGATCACCGCTATGAAGTCTTCAATAACCAGCTGTTGCACATTATGGAGCCATACATCAAGATGTATCACGAACATGTCAACACTAACCGTCAGCGTAACATCATGGACTTCTTTGCCCGCAACCCACCACAGCCAGCCCAAGCCAGTGATAGTGACAGTGATGTTGGCTTTGAGGGACTTGTCAGGGAGGCCCTGACAGCTATGGTGGATAGTGATGGTGATTCACCTGAGGGCCAGTAATCTGCCCTCTGCCTCGGAACCAGCCCCCATCAACGTATGCCGACCCATCTCTTCTACTAACATAAGTGTTAAACCTAACCTAACCTTGATTTTTTTCTAACCTAATGTAAGTGTTAAACCTTGATTTTTTCTAACCTAACCTAACCTAACCTAATGTAAGTGTTAAACCTTGATTTTTCTTTTACCTGGTACAGTATATTATTCTCTTATTGATATTTCTCTTCTATATTATGTGTGTGTGCATACCATCATAAAATTAAGATAATATTTTTACTACATCGTACGTATTGTGTCGCAAAAAGTGGAGTTTGGGGGTCAGCCCAGTCTCTATTTCAATTAATCCCATATGTTCTGTTATTTCATTTACGCGTTTCTCGTTTTACGCGGGCCTCCACGGGTTCAATTGACCGTGTAAATGCAGACTACACTGTAGTGTATATACAACCAAAAGAGAGAGAAAGCAAATTCACATTTTTGGAGGATGCATTTAATGTATACTTATTTTTACCCACAATTAGGCATACTAAGACAAATTACGTATCAGTAATACTACATTATGCAAAAACTAACATTTTAAAACATCAGAAACACATTGAAATATTACTCAATTGTCAGCAGGGGCAGGAAAAAAAAGACTGCAAACAACTTCATATTTCCAACCTCTGCTGATGGCTGTTCACTCAAGCGGCCAAGTCTGTCATCGTCCACCAACTTTCAGAGGTCGTGCAATATTTCAATGTGATTTTGGTCTTTTAAAATGTTAGTTTTTGCATAATGTAGTTTTACTAATAAGTAATTTGTGTTATTATACCTTATTGAGGGTAAAAATAAGTATGTATTAAATGTGTCCTCCGAAAGCATGAATTTGTTACCAGAGTTTAACAGTTAATTCATGTATAAGATTTCTGATAAACTTCCTACGTGATCATGTTTGAAATAATGAATGTATGTATCTTTATATAATTTAGCTAAATATCTTTCTCATCAGAAACGGTCATCCCAACGATTATGAATAAACTAATTTAGAAATACATCATTACTTTAGGACGAAATCGGACAGATTTGCAACAGCCAATCTGCTGTAACACTTGAGGGAAAAAATGCTCTATAGCATATACTATACACAGACAAGAAGTGTCTTAAAAAAGGCCTATAAGCACCCCAGGCAACAATACAGTACTCAGTTGAGTGTTTATACCGGGAATTGGCAGATGCCTGCCCTACTAGAGGTCACTACCTCAGGTTGAAGAAGCTACAAGTTCTGAAAAATGCCAGGACAAGCTTTTTTGTCGAATGCCTGAGAATGTTGTGATGGCACCGAATGTGACCTCAGTTCAAGACCAGACTTGACCAGCACTGGTGCAGGTTTAGATACATTCTAGATCCAGCGCATACCTAATACGGGTTGGAAACCCTCTAATCCGGGACCTGATAGTCCGGTAGCTTCAATGGTTCGGGATGCATGCAGTGAATACTTAATCTTATGGGGAAAATTAGGATATGTTCCATAACTACTCAAAGTCCTTCTACACTCTGACTTTGTTTGGTTCCTGGATCTTGCATACATCCTCCATTCCTGCTCATTGTTTGTCCTAACCCATTTCTCGAATTTCTTTGTTTTCTTCTTAACTTTGTTGACCGTCACATGGTTCATGTGTAGCGGTCTCCTTGTATTCCTAGAGGCACTGGGTTTGGTCTTGGGTATATATTTATCAATCAAATAGTTACTTTACTGGCTATGATATTCAGTGTAGTGTCTACGTTCTTATACCTTAGTGAGTCAGGCCAGTGGATACCCCTCATCTCTTCCCTCATCCTTGTAATATTTTAATCTTGGCCTGGTTTTGTCGTGAACCAAGTAACAGTTAAATCTGAAGGGCAATGTTAAGTGGGGATTAGTGTCAACAGGGGCTACGTGTTCCAGCTTGGCCACCATACCCTCCTCGTTAGTTATGAAGAAGTCCAGTGGCTTGGGTGTTTGCTCCCCTCTGTAATGAGTCGGGTCTTTAACATGTCACAGAAAATTACCTCTGCAGAATATAACTTGCACTGCTGGAATCCTTGCAAGAGAGCAGTTAATTTGAGTTTAAACATCTCATAGTTTGCACAAGAGATAAAAATGTTAATCCTTTCGTACATTTGAGTACAGTAATATGTTGCCCAAAATTATGGCTTTTTCACAGGGACAAGTCTGTATAACTAACCCCAGTGGTCAGGATATTATGGCATTGAATGTTAGACTATTTCAAATAAATTCTTTGTTTCATTCTGTACATGCAAATTCCCATCTTGTGAATGACATAAAGTGAGGGTCCAATGTACAGTAAACTTGTGCCATAGCACTAACACTTTGTCATAAAGATGTCCAGTAAACATGGGCTAGATTTGCTGATGGAAGTTGTATTGGTATCAGTAATAGTACATTTTATGCATTATTTTGCCTTTTTTTAACCTCGGTTTCGATGGTTTGGAATTTTCACTAATCCGGAACTGGTCTGGTCCCAGGCTTCCCAGATTAGCGATGTCCAACCTGTACTTGCCAACAGTGTATAACCAACCCCCCAAGTGGCTAACAGGCCGATCAGTGGCAAAGGGGGTAAAGTAAAGTACAGTATTAAATATCAAAATGGTGGAACATTCCAAAATATTTTAGTAAAGTTTTCACTGTATGATGAGAATAAATAACTTTGCACTGAACAAGTACTGACACAGGATTCATTACTGTACAATATAAGTATAAAATTAAAATTCACTAATGGTCACTTCAAGCTTTTCCTGCAAAGCAAAAATCTACAAACTACCCGGTAATGTAAAAATTAGCCATATAAGAGTTGTGCAATCTTGTGTTTATGTTTCTCAACTAAACATTCACCAATCACGAATGAAGCCAGACTAGGAAGTTCGTCTCCAATCAGAAAAAATTAATGACATAAATCGTGTTCTGTGGATCTTGATATCTCTGAAATTACAGTAATTCCTAGGCAGTATATGACTCTGTGTTTCTTTTCTTGAGTTAAGTATTGATTTGTCTGAATTTTATATGAAACAAAGACCTATTACAGCTAAAACTTAAACATTACCAATGAAATACAGAAAAAGTATTTGGGCATATATACAGTAGTTTGAACTTACCAATGTGTGGATATATGGACACTGTCTAACCAACAGAAGTAGTGATGAATCAATTCTGTCATGAAAGGACCTTGGCATGTAGAATCTAGGCAACTGCTTATGAGCAAACACTTCCAGGTTTCGCTTATACAACTCAATAATTGTAAGCATCACTGGGGTGTCAATCTGAAAATTACAAGCAACAATAAATTTTATGTCCTACAGAAATATCCACATATCCTCAATCTGTCTGACACCCTATTAATGGCTTACATGGATAACTTATAATTTTACTATGACTCACACAGTTGACTTACAATATTACTATGGCTCATAAAAACAACTTGCAACACTACTCTCTGAATTGGCACACAACAAAGAGGTACAGAAAATAATACCCCACAAAAGCCCCCAACATTTATAATAAAACACTTGAAATGATGGCCTCATAAGCCTGACAGCTCATTAGTGGTAATGTGAACACAGTGCACTGACTACTAAGACTAGTACACAAGAAAGCAATGTGTCCAGCGCTGCACTCCAGAGCCTTTACTTCACCAACATTAAAGTTATGTATCCAGTGACAGGTGGGTCATCCTACCCTTGAAAGTAACTTAAAGTGTTAAGATTCTATAAGTAAATAATCAATGTTGTAAACATATTTTGAGTTTTTGAATATAGTACAATACTGTATTTATAAATGTAAAGTTTCTTATCACCTGCTCGTTACTGGTAGCCAAACCTCCCCTCCATGCAAATGAGCCTTCAAAGGCTTTCTGGAGCTATATTTGTACATGGTTGAACCAACTTACTATTTGCCATTGTTTGTATACCAATACAGTGATCCCTCGGTTAACGAATCTTCAACTCGGTTAACGAACAAAAATTCGGTTAACGAAATCCTTTCGAAATCGTGTCAACATGTTTTCGCCTGCTCACCAGCTGGAGTATTAGTCCGCCAATACAGTAATCGGTTCTAGGGCTTAAATTCGTTACCATTTGAGTAAATATCAAGAAGGTTGTACTATTCAATAATTTTCCAAGTTTTATATTAAACTTTTTAGTAAATTTAACAATTATTTAACATAATTGAAGTACAGGGAACTAGTTTTTAGAGTGCCAAACAGCCACTCAACACACCAAGCTTGGTGTCAGTTTGTGTCTCTGTTCAGTGGAGGGAACATCTTGTTTGAGACTCTCTTGAACATTAACTATTTTTCCATTTTTACAGTCAAATTATTGGTCATTTTGAAATATATTTTACATATTGATAATATATAGCACAGTGCAGTGTTGATTTAAAGAAAATATTCTTTATTTACAGCAATAAAACTTAAAATTTTAGCGTTGAAATTGAATCCAGCATGGCTCCAAAGAAATCGAGAAAAGTTATTTAAATCCAGGTAAAACAGGAAATATTAAAGAAACATGAACAGGGCATTAGAACAAATGTGCTTAGTAAAGACTATGGCATGTCGGCATCAACTGTGTCGACAATTCTTGCACAGAAAGACAAGTTCAAGGAAGTGAAAGTGGGAGACCAATCTACCAGAGTGTTTAAAGGTAGATCATTAATAGCAGAAACTGAGAGGTTACTTCTCATTTGGATTAGGGAAAACAAACGAAAGGTGATTCAGTTTCTACTGAATTTATTTGTGAAAGAGCCAGGGAAATTTACGAACATTTAAAGGAAGATCAACCTGGTTCTTCTGGCACAGAGTTCGAAGATTTTAGGGCCAGCAAGGGCTGGTTTGAAAATTTTAAGAAAAGAAGTGACATTTTCAGTGTTATTAGGCATGGTGAGGCTGCCAGTGCAGATAAAGAAGGAGCAGCAAAATTTTTTGTGAACTTTAAAGAACTGGTGGAGGAAGAAAATTATCTTCCACAGCAAATGTTCAATGTGGACGAAACTGGGCTGTTCTGTAAGAAAATGCCCAAAAGAACATTCATCACCAGAGATGAAGCCTCTTTACTTGGGCATAAACCCATGAAGGACTGTCTCATTCTATTGCTTGGTGCCAATGCTTCAGGGGATTTCCGACTGAAGCCTATGCTTGTCTACCACTCTGAGAACCCCAGGGTGTTCAAGCAACAAAAAGTGGTAAGAGGACAGCTTGGAGTTTATTGGAAGTCCAAACGTAAGGCATGGGTGACAAGACAGCTCTTTAATGAATGGGATGTTGAGGTGTTTTGCCCTTCTGTGAAGAGCTACCTAACCACCAATAAACTCCCTTTAAAGGCTCTTCTCCTTATGGATAATGCCCCTGGTCATGACCTTGAACTTGCCAGCACTTTGGAGGCTCAATACGACTTTGTCAAAGTGTTGTTTTTGCCTCCCAACACTACATCAATCATGCAGCCAGTGGACCAGAATGTGATCAGCAACTTCAAGAAGTTGTACATGAAGAAAATGTTCAGGAGGTGTTATCGGGCAACTTCCACTGATCCTGAACCAACACTGGCACAGTTCTGGAAGACACAATTTAACATCCTGGAGGCTGTAAAATTGATTGTGTCCTCATGGCGAGAAGTCTCCATTAGATCCCTCAATTCTGCATGGAAAGCACTGTGGCCATCAGCAGTCCATGATTTTGAGGGATTTGAGGGAGAAGCAGAGTTGGACAAGGAGATTGTGTCCATTGGTCAGTCATTGGGTCTCGAGGTGGAAGAGGATGATGTGGAAGAGCTTGTGATGTCTCATGAGCAGGAACTTACTCCTGAAGACTTAAAGCAACTGGATGAGATGTTAGAGGCTGACAGTGGTGAGGAGGAAAGGGAAAGTGATGACCATATGTCTATTTCAGATTTGAAAGATGTTGTTCACTACTGGGAGAAGTTCAGGAAACTAGCTTCAAGGCACCCAGATGTGGAAACAACAGAACCTATTTTGTGTAATGTTGAGGACAGAGTGGTCTCCTTCAAAAATCAGTGCTTAATTCATGCAAGCATGGAAAATAGCCATAATATAGTGATGATGATGATGGTGAAATTACTACTTTACTGTATAAATATTAATTTATACTGGTACTCTTTCTAATGTTTAATTACATTATTCTGGTATCTTGTTTCATTCAAATTCTAATTCTATGTCCATTTAGATTTTTGTTATCCAAGAGGTTATAAGAAATAAATTGTCAAAGCTCAAGGTTCACAAGTCACGGCCCTGACATGGTGCATCAGAGAGTGCTAAGAGAGTTGTACAACGAGCTATGATACAATTATATGATTTATTAAGGATGTCACCTAGGTTGGTGAGTTTTGAGGTGACTAAAGAGGCCGATACGGGACCGGCAGAGTTGTTCACAGATGTTGCACATGTGGAGGGCTCCATCGAGTGCAGGAGGAGTGGTGGCAGCGTCTTTCCGGCGTTGGCGCTTGTCTGCCTCGATTTGCAGTTGTGCTAACTCAAAAGTATTGCACACCTTGTGTGATGCTCCTCCAAGCATTACGATGTGGAGTAACCGTCTTCCAGGTAAGGGGGTCGATTTGGCACTTTTTCAGGTTTATCTGAAGACTATCCTTATACCTTTTCGGTTGCCCGCCGGCGTTACACTTATTATTCGTAAGGTGACTGTAAAGTATAGTCTACTGTCGTCCATGCGGGTAACATGGCCGGTCCAGTGTAGTTTTTCATGGATAATGGTAGCCTTGATGCTCCTACAGTTGGTGTTAGAAAGAATACTGACATTTGTTCTCTTGTCTTCCCAGCTAACTCGGAGGATGGAATATAGACTACGTTGGTGAAAGTTTTCAAGTGCCTTGAGGTATCTCCTGACCCATGTCTTGTTGCCATATAGCAGGGTGGGGAGGACCACTGCTCAATATACGTGTAACTTTGAAGATAATTTCAGCTCCCTACAGCTGAAGGCATGGGTACGGAGTCTGCCAAAGGCTTGAGATGCACATCTGATCTGATGTTGAATTTCTTCATCAATGTCTGCGGTGGTTAACAAGTGGGAGCTGAGATACTGAAAGTAGATAACATTAGAGAGGGTAGTACCATTAAGATGGATATGATGGTGGAGGTGTGCCTGAACCAGAGGCAGGTTGAAAGAGAATCCGAGTCTAACGTACATTCACCTCAAGGCCAAAGTGTGCATAAGCATCTGCTTAGGTGTTCAGGATCTCCTGTAGGTCATGTTCAGTGTGAGCAACAAGAGTGAGGTCGTCTGTATACTGAAGTTCAGTAATTGAAGCTGCCGACACCTTTGTTCCTGCCTGGAGTCGTCTTATGTTGAATAGACCATTCATCCTGTACTTGATCTCCACCCCGCCAGCTAAATTGGCACTGGCACGAGTAAGGAAGGCAGCCAAGAAAATGGAAAAGAGAGTTGGTGCCAGTACACATCCTTAATTTACCTCCTTTTGGATGGGGAAGAACTTAGACTGGGTGCCATTGTGTGGGACACTGCCGTTCATGCCATCGTGGAGTTGCCTCACAATGGTGATGAATTTTGGTGGGCAGCCGAAATGGCTGAGGGCCCACCAGAGGGCTTCCTTGTTGACCGAGTCGAAGGCCTTGGTTAGGTCGATGAAAGCCATGAACAGGTCACGACGCTGTTCTCTGCACTTTTCCTGTATCTGGCGGGCAGCAAAGATCATGTCAGTGGTGCCACGTGATGGTCTAAAGCCACATTGAGATTCTGGGAGGAAGTTTTCCGCCTCGGGAAGAAGTCTGTTTAGGAGGACTCGGGCAATAATCTTGCCAGCTACGGACAGCAGCGAGTTCCCACGGTAGTTGCCACAATCTGACCGGAGAGAGTGGAGATGGCTGGTAAGTAGAGGTCCTCCTGCTTTATATACCTCGGCTGGGATTCCATCAGGCCCTGAGGCTTTGTTATTTTTCATCTGTTTGATGGCAGTAGTTGCCTCATCCATGGATGGGGGATAGCTGAGGTGGGTCAGTTCTGGATGCTGAGGGACTTGCTGGGTAGTCAGGAGATCCACATCAGTGTTTCGGTTGAGCAGTGAATGGTAGTGCTCTTTCCAGCGCTGAAAGATGCCTTCATCATCTTTAATTATGGAGTTACCATCAGATAAGCGGAGGGGGGCTGCGCCACGAGTGATTGGCCCATAAAATGTTTTGGTGGAATTGAAAAATTCGCGCATCTTGTGCTGATATGCAAATTTTGGTGTTTCACATGATTTATTTTTAAACCAGTCATTCTTTAGATTGCGAAGTTCTCGCTGGGCCGCCGCTTTCTTCTTGCAGAAGGTATCAGCTTTGGTCTGAGACTGAGAGTTGTTCTGCCACTCAGTTAAAGCAGCACGTTTATCATCAATGAGTACATTGATTGCTGGGCCATTTTCATCAATCCAGTCCTGGTGTATTCCTTCGATCTGGCCGGTCTCTCTGCAGGCTTTTGTCATGACAGCGTTGAGAATATCCCAGTCGGCACTGGGATTTGGATTGTTAGTTGTTGGGTTGTTTATAAGCCCATATTCGAGCTGCTCTCTGAAAGCATGTACTACCGCTGGATCCTCCAGACGCTTAGTGTTAAAACCTCTTCTGGAGGCTTGCTGCCTTTGCCGTTTTGGGGCGACGTTAAGTGAGAGCTTGGCTCTGACGAGCCGATGATCAGTGTCACAGTGGTCTGGGCCACGCATGGCATGGGTGATGAGGACATCTCGGCGATCTCTTTCTCTGACAATGATATAGTCAATGAGATACCAGTGTTTGGATCGTGGGTGTTGCCACAAACCCTTGAGCTTGTCAGCCAAAACAAGGTGTTGGTGACAGTGAGGTTGCGTGCAGCACACTTGCTGGCGAGGAGTAGGCAGTTGGGATTCACTTGCCTTAATCCATTTCTCCCAATGGTTCCCTGCCAAATGTTAGCATCTCTGCCAACTCTGGCATTGAAGTCACCAAGGAGTACAACCTTGTCTTCTCTGGGGATAGAGGTTAGCACTCTGTTGAGGTCGGAGTAAAAGGCCTCCTTGAAGTCACCTTCTGCATCCAGTGTTGGGGCGTATGCACTGATGAAGAAGGCAGATGTGAGTGATTCAGCAGGACTCAAAGCATCAAGAGACACTCGTTGATCCCAATAGGCTTTTCAGATAGCCTGTGTAGGATATTTTTGGTGGATGGCAAAGCCAACTCCATAAATGCGGCCAGGATTCATTAATGTCGATGTTATACCTAGCCATTGTTTTGCCACAAGGGCGGTTCTTCTTTCAGGACGCTCATTTGTGCCAGTATCCAGGAGGGTCCTGACATTCCATGCAGCGACCATAAGAAGTTGTATAGTTTGTTTTTGTTTGGATCTGTGATTTTTATTGTGTTTTCGACCGCTTAAGGATGACCCTACTGGGTGCGGTTGCCCAGTCAGGTTGCTTTTTTAGGCAGGCTATGTTTAGGGCACCTTTTCTAGCCCCCCTTCCCGTGTGGGGTGAGCAGAGTGGGTCCTCGAAAATGCTGCTCAGTCACACAGACAGGACCGGATTGCACTGCTGCCTAGATCCCAGTGCATAAACGACCATCTTATCTGTGCCGCCCATATGCAGAGTTGTGACTAAAGACTCCCGGCAGTCATCTCTGCCTGTCCCCGCCACCACTCGTCCATCGTCATAGGACTTTTGGGAGTATATGGGTTTTGATGAAGATGAGAGGTATGATGAGCTGGATGGTGGCTGCGTGTGAGTCGATTTATGTGGTAAGGCAGGAGCGCAGGCTGCAACCACACACCTTGGCTCTCCCTTTTCCTGATCCAGTGGTGCAAGTGTTGCAGCGACTGGGGAGAGGGAGAGTTGCAATGGACTGCCAATAGCCCAGTTTGTTGGGTTTTGCCAAGGTAGCCTGTCCATCATGCATTGCCTTAGTCTGCCAGTGTAGTTGTTGGGTTCCCATGTTGGTCACCTCTTCCGCCTGTACCGCCATTGGGGTCTTGTTGGAGCTCTTTAAGTATGTCTGCCTGATGCGGAGCTCCACCGCAGATTTTTCGTTAGGGGTTTACTCCCATAGCCTTATGCCTACCAAGGTTAAACTGCAAGGCAGTGGGGCAATGGTTGGTAGGCGCCAGAAAGTGTCCGCATGCTAGTGGGCCTATGCGCCGTCCCTCTGGGGCTGTGTACTGACAGGGGAAGACTTATGCAAGTTGCTTCTCTGTTCGCCACGAAGGCTAGCCAGCGGCAGTAGCTGAAAGCGAGAGGGAGCAAGCAATGAGTGCACCTTAACACTAACATAATGCTGCCACACTAGATGCATTTCACACACACACACATGAAATAATAACTCAGTAACAAACATCTACTATATAAACAATCTACAGAAGATACAACATTTCTACTTTCACAAATTCAGTCTGGAATGAAGTTTGTTATTCCTTTACTCACATATACAGTGCTAAAAAAATAAATTTATTGACATCTGAAAATAATTAAGATTAAAGACTCACTTTAGCATATGGGGAATTGTATACTATGCTTCTAACAGGTGCTTGCTGTTGCCAGATGATTTCATTCTTACAACTCCCTTCACTACACAGATGAACACGAAGTCTAGGATTTGCTGCTCGACACTGCTTCCAAGCTTTATAGCTGAGGGATTGTCCATTTTCTGTGTATTTATTTTGCACTATGTACATATTCCTCACCTTTGAATAACCCAATAGTTCAAGGAGATCATCACCAATACTCTGAAAAATTAAATTCAATACTGCACATGAATTTCCACATACAGTACTGTAGTTCCTACAACCACAGAACTAATATATTCATAACACTAGATATATTTACATTGCAAAATATTTTGGAGTTTGTTATACCTGTACATTCTAAAATTACCATATCTAATGATGAAAAGTCCCAAACCTTTACACAGTAAACTCTCTTATAACACAGGCATTACATCTTTGTCAGTCTTCATGCTAAGGGAATTTCATGTTCTAGGGGACACTGGACTTATGGAGAACCATGAGTGTACTGTATTCTTGAGCCATGTTTTGGCATCTATTACACAACAAATAAAGTAATACAGTACAGTATCTACCACAGTGATGTCCTACTTCCAATATAGTACCCAAATTGTGCTACATAATATTATGCATGTCATAAACATATAAAAAATATACATGGGTAATAACCTATCCCTAAATCCAATATCACATAATAGTTATATTCTATTACTTTTTTCTGGCTTATGTTCTCTGCCAAGTTGGCAGAGCAGAGAGGATAAAAGTAAAAGTATAACCTCTATGAGTAGCCATAAGTCAGATATACCTACCATGAGCTGAAGCATTCAAGATATATTGAGTATATGTTGAATGCTTTATCTATCTTTGTGTGTGGTGTAAATTGTGTTAAGATGACGTGTTTTGAGTGCCCAGCCAACAGCTGTGATCACGGTTTGTCTTTCGTGAAGTTATGAGACAACAATTCAAAAGTGAAGATGTATTTCCTTGATTTACAGTCCTCAGAGACTCCGATGAGTGCAATGAAATTATTGCCATTTTTGTACAGTATTTAAGAAACTCGTTAATTTTGAGAGCAGAACTTGTCAACTGCAAGTAAAACTTTGAAATGCAAACTATACTCATGAGTAGGCCGGATGCTGTGGTTTTTGACTCCACCCACAATGTATTGCCATCCTATGGAATTGACATCAATTTAATTTTTGCAGGGCAAAGCTCGAACATTGATTAGATTAGACAAGTTAATCTTAGAAAATTAATATAAGCCCAAAGCCTAATTTTCACAGCCCAAGGTGTACAGCACACCCGGATAATTCAAGGACTTTTGTTTCACGGTCCTCTATTAAACGTGGATGACACCCTGGATGTACTCAAGAATGTCTGCGGGTAGTTGTAAAGTTGCCGGCACTTTCGCAGACAGGACAGGGAGCCATTCGTTCTGGAGACAGTAATTTCCTTTACCTGTATTGTAGACTTGAGGATAGACTCAACATTTTAAATACGACATTTGTTTTTTATTATTTACGAGAGGATTTTCCCATTAATATTTATGTGTATGTGTGTCTAACACACATACACATATATACAATACAGGTAAAAGAAATAATTGTCCTAAGGGCAAACACAAAAAGGGAATATACATTTCTTTGTACACAAGTTAAAATGAACCCCCAGTCAGCAAATGTTATTTGCGGATTTGGCGATTTGCGTCCATTTTGAGAACTAACCCCCACGAATTTGACTGGCATGCTGTACTTTAACTGAGAACAATGAATACAGTAAACCCTCGATAACTCGGCACATATATGTGTACATGTACAGTGGTCCCTCAGTTAACGAACTCAATTCGTTCCAGAGGGTCGTTCGTTAACCGAAAATTTCATTAACCGAAACATTTGTTTCAATGGTGTTATCGCCGCTGGCTTCAGCTACAGTGCTGGCGTGTGATGCCATTAAATCTTTCGATCTGTGACCTCGCCAGATGTAGAAGTGTTTACAGACAAGTCCTGGTTCTGCTGAGTGGACTGTCTTAGACTGGTGGCGGTGGCTGCCCGCCCCTCCATGAGACAGATCGCCCTCTCTAGTGATGCTGTGAAGACCAGCCTTCTCCTGTCCGAGAATTTGTGCTGGGACGATTTACGCAATACTGTTTTCTCTTGCAACACCATACTGATCTGCATTGACACGCACTAGTAAGTACAGCCTAAGTGATGACATACCCCTCAGTACTGAAATATTGTCGACTAATTATGCCTACTCGTTTCTGCCTAACCTGGAGTAATAAGACAATGCAGAATGAAGCGAAGCTAGGATTAATAGAGTTATGAACTTTGTGTTATGTCAGTATGTTTAATAAATTGTAATTAAGATAAAATTGTGTGAGACTAACTAATTATGTATCAGATGGATCACCTTGTAATATTATGAACACTTTCTCCTCTGCAGGTTTTGACCACATCAATAAATATTGAATGCGTCAAAAGACGGGTTTCAATCACTCCCTTCAACTTGCCCGTAACCTGAACGTCCTTAACTAAGGAGTTTATAAATGGGATTTTAGGTAATTGGTTCCAGCTCACCGAAAATTACATACAAAGTAAAAAAAAAATGTAGTAAAGTACACTTACTTTGAGTTGTGTATGTAGAAGGCTCCTGGTTGATGATGCTGATGGGAATTTGAAGTGGGAGGTGGAGGAGGAAAAGGGAGAAGAGAAGGAAGTGGGGATGGAAGAGAAATCACCCCATACTTCATGCCGTCATTTCACCCATAAAATTTTAAGTTCACTAGGTGTAATTCAAGATTATTTTCTTTAAATCAACACTGCACTGCACTGCACTGCACTGCACTATATATTGTCAATATGTAAAATAAATTTCAGAATGATCAATAATTGTACTGTAAAAATGTAAAAATAGTTTATGTTCAAGAGACCCACAAGCAAGAAGTTATCTCCACTGACCAGAAATACAAACTGACGCCTTGCTGGGTGAGTGAAGTGGCTGATGGGCACACCAAAAACTAGTTCCCTGTACTGCAATTATGTTAAATAAGTGTTAAAATGACTAATAATTTTAATATAAAACTTGGAAAAATATTTAATAGCACAACCTTCTTGATATTTACTCAAATGGGAACAAATTTAAGCCCTAGAACCGGTTACTGTATTGGAGGACTAATCTACCAGCTGATGAGCAAGCAATAACATGTTGACATGTTTTCGTAAGAATTTCGTTAACCGAATTTTTGTTCGTTAACCGAATTGAATATTCTTATGGAAGGTAATTTGTTAACCGAAATTTTGTTAACCGAGGCGTTCGTTAACCGAGGGACCACTGTAATTACTAAATGTAAAAAAGTAACACTTACCAGCACTGCAGGTGAAGAATGAAGCATCATAGTAGGTGACACAGATGACACAGAGGCATGGTAGGTGACAAGAGGTATGGTAGGTGATGCAGGTGACACAGAGGCATGGTAGGTGATAAGTGACAGCGGCATGGTACGTGATGCAGGTGGCCAGATATGCCAAGATTTTCCCAGATAGTTCTATATATCTTGGCATTTCCCGAGTTATCCTATAATACATTCCGAGACCATATCCATGCCGAGTTATATGAAATTCCGAGTTATCGAGGGTTTACTGTATGTACATAAAGTATCGGGGATAATGCTGGGTGTATAAAAGAGAGCACGCAGTTTGATTAGTTCATTCTTGAATGCCCTTCCCCTCGTCAATCAAGTATGTTGCTATGTGTCTCCCCATCATATTAAGTGAATTTGACTTTGGTGAATTGTGTTGAATATGTCAGTGTTCCTGTAACGTAATTGAAGTCTTGTTTGTTAATGTAATTATGTTCATGCGTCATTTGTTTCCTTGCGCAAGACTTGTTTTGTGTCATTTGTATTTTGATTTCATTCATTCTTGAACACTCTCTCCCTTGTCAACCAGAAACTGTGTTGGTTGCTGGAACTGCCAGGAGGCAGTGGCCAGTGGCTGATAGGATGTCTGATGCAGGATGTCTTTAATTTATGGGTATTAAGATCTTGAGTTGATGGTGTTGACGAGCCGCAGGCCCAAGGGTGCGTCCACATCCATGCAACATGGTTCGAACCTCGGATACAGTGGAGCCTCACTGTAGTGTCACAGAGTGTAAACGCCCGACATTGTTTTGAATCCAAGTGGCATAAGCCTGTGGTAACATTCTGTTTGTATCCATAATTGTTCTGTCTCGGGTTCCTTATTTCCACCTAGTAAATGAACACCTATGTATCCTGTGATGTAAATAGTGTTCACAGGTACAATATTGATAAGAGACAAGAGGTAAAGTTGTATCTTTTACTTTTATCCTCTTTACCACTGATTGGCTCGTTAGCCGCTTGGGACATCGGTCACATCTCTGATACACACTGTTGGCAGATATTGGGCATGCAATTATGGTTCAATATTTTTTTCACCCTCCTGGCCCCATTGTGGGTCGGGTGTGCCTGGGTGGGCTAGTCCCATATAAAAAATAATAATAATAAAAATAAATAAGTAAAAAAATAATACAGTAATAAGTAAATAAATAAATTAACCCATTGCTGATCAAAGGTCACATTTACAACTTGGTTTGCCCTAGAATAAAACACAAACCAGTAAATGAAGCACTGAAGCACTTACCACTCTCCTTCTCATGCAGTTCATATTATGAGACAGGATTTCTAGAACATCCTGATCTGTAAATTGCAGAACTGACAAGGGCACAAGATTTCATGCTTTCCCACTCTCTGACTTAAAGCCATAACAATAAGTGGGATAGGAGTTTAACAAAGTTAAATTCAGCTGGCAAAACTAAACTTCACTGGGATGCTATTAGAATAGTGACATCTCTAAACTGCCTCAGTTTCAAAACCACTTGAAACATATAGAGGAGAAAAGAAATGCTTCAGTATCTAAGTGGAAATGGAAATTGCATCTAACCCCAGTGACCCTCTGGTAAAATAACCAAAATGAATACTGCAATGTTAAACTCCCAAGGCAACGATCCAAAATATGAAGAGACTGGACCTAACCTCCACTTCGAAGGCATTGTTCTATTTGTAGAGAAAGTATTTACTGTAATACTAAGCTTCCCAGCAAAATGCAATGATGAATGCTTTCACTAATTCCACACATGGTACACTTAGATCCCTGATCTTGATGAACCTTGTGATACCCGTGACAGCTGTTATCAATGAACTGTACAATGTACTTCTTCCCAAAATTTTACTTCCTATTTAATGAAGAAACCAGAACTGCAGCTGCAAAAGGTATGGGCAGAAATTTTTTTTCTTTCCATTCTATCAAGCCATTTCGTTTATACTATTGTAATATATTAAATTATAAAATCTAATACTGTACTATATGTTGCTAAAAAAAAAAAAAAAAAAAACATTACCTGGGGAGAAATGACTAATGTCTCAAGGTTAACGAATGCTCCAGGATGAAGAAGTGTATGTGGGAGCTTCATGACGTTGACCAAAGTGAGAGTTCTTAGAGTTTCACAACATGTGACACAGACCTAGAAAGAAACATCATAATCTTGGAAGTACATTTAGTAGTATAGAAGAGATATAACAATATGCTCTGATCTTTATATACTATTACAATTATTTTTTCTTCAAACTCTTACTACTCTTGTGCCCAACATCTTTCCTCCACTGTACTTATTGACTCTGATATCCCCAGATGATTCAGTGTATCTGTGAGGTTATAGAGAACTGGTTCTCCACACACACACAGTCTAAATTTGTTGAGTAGGAGCTTCAGACATTGGCTGGAGTCCCTGTGGTCACCCTCAGAAAATTCAGCAGGCAGTACAACTAAGGGAGTGGAATGTAATAGGCAAGAATGATTCAGCTGAAAAGCACAAAACGGTACACTATAGTGGTAACTAAAAATAAGGTTTTTTGAAGACAGTAGGAATGTGTGGTAAAAGAATGAAAGCCTGTATGAATTCTATTTGGAATGGTGTAAGGTCACATTTCTTAAAAATATGCAGATAATAGAAAAGAATTACTGGCTCTTATCAACAAAGAAAATAAAAAAATAAAAAAATTCTAGAATGTTAATGGTAATTTTCAAAGTGGGTAGAGTAGTACTATGTGTATCTGTTCAGTAAAGCAGGAACTGGTTAGACAATGTGCTTAGGTTCTTGCATCTCTCATGATATAGTAAACAATGCTTGAGATTTTAGTAATTAAATGCACACCTAGCACACCCTGAATATATGCCACTGATGAAAATCTGTCTTACTTCATCAAGTAAGTGTAGTCCTTCACAACCTTCTAGAAGCAGGTCTCTCAACTCCAGTGTCTTTAGCTCAGAAAATACTCCCATCACTTTTTTAAACATTGACAGAATTTGGCCTCCAGTACCAAATACAACATCATCTGCTTGTTCTGTGTGCTGGCAAGCAAAGCTGAACCTGTTGATAGGGATATAATAAATATTTTTAATTGTTTCACACAAGAGTGAAACACATAATTCAATTACAATACTGTATTTACTAAATGGCAGAGTTAGCTAAACTTATTTCTACAGTATTCAAGTTAATGAAAATTAGCTAGTGAACATCTAACAGGCATTTTGTTGTTGTACATCAGATAATACTAATTCTCTCTATTTGCATGTGTACATATTGAAATGAAAAAGAGGAGCAATCTACTGCACTACACCAAATGACTCATAAATCTGAAGCATAACAATAATTATTGACTTGGAAATGGCCACTATGGATTTAAAAGAATTAAAACCCAATAGTTTGGAGAAAAGCTACAATGATAATTTGATATACTGTACTGTACTGTACAGTATACTGGAAATGAGGAAAAGTAGAAGTGGTTAATATAATTTCATTATGGTCATGATGTAGTGAATAATGCAAGAGAAACAATGGGAAATAACTAATAATAGCAGATACAGGAAGATACTTTTTGATACCTAAATCTCTCTAAACCATTAAATATTCCACTGTTAAAGTTAAACACCTTAGGCTAAGACATACCTTAAGGTATGTACACGATCTAGAGTTCCTGGACAGTTGTTATGCATGTAAAGAGAAACATTTAAGAATTCATAGAGGTTGAATAAATTATTCATGGGTGGGAATATCAACGTCCGGATGTGCATCCCTTTCTTGGTAAGGAAGATGGTGACACGGATGTGATCTAGTAATTTCTGTAATAAATTTTTATTTCTTTAATATTTTTGTTGTTTATCTCAACATTAAAAAAGTTATTTCAGAGTTACATTAAAATAACAATGTGTATACTGTACAACTAATAAAAATCTCATAAAGCTTCTTGAACTAACTTAATTCTCTTTTTCAAGCCTTTTCCTACAATAATACTGTACTGAGTAGCTGAAATCAAGGACAAATACAGACTCTTCCTTCAATTACTGTCATTTATTCACCATTACTGCTTTAACAGATATTTTAATTAAATTCAAATAATTTAAATACAGTACTGTACAGGTACAGTATTCCCCTCAGTACACATGCCCAATAAATTAAAATTTGTTTTGAAAAATCACATACTGACACCTTTTTTTTTTTCATACAAAAGTAAACATCTTCCTTAGGAATCACATCTTGACATGCTTTTTCCCTAAAAGATTGCATACATTTTGCTGTTCCACAATCAAAATGAACACCCCGGAATGATATACTTATGCTCTACTGTATTGGTACAATCAAGGATTCCTGGAGAAAACACTATGATCAACTGCTAAATGAGGAGTAAGAATGGGCCTAGAAGTAGTAGGACTAGTACAATGACCTTGCCCAAGGATTGAAAGAGAATGGGTGAAGAAAGCAATTGATATAATGAAGAATGGAAGGCAGCTGGAAACTCTGGAGGAGTTGCAGAAATGTTGAAAGCATCAGACAATGCTGGCATGTTGATAGTGATGTACAGTTCCAGATGACTGGCAAAAAAGTGCGATCATGAATACAGTACTTACAAGGGTCAAAGTGATGCAATTGAACGTGGAAACTACAGGGACCTGAAGCTGTTTAATCATGTTATGAAAGTTGTGGAAAGAGTAACTGAGAATTTTATAAGGGAGAGAGTGGACAGTTATGAAATGCAGTTTAGGTTCATGTCAGATATCGGAACTAAAGAGGTAATGTTTACGGCCAGACAACTAAAGTACAAGAGAGCTATCAAGGGAAGGAAAGAAAATGGTAATTCTTATTTGGAGACTCAGAGAAGGTATTTCATAGAGTACCATGTGAAGTAGTGAAGTGGGAAATGACAAAGCTCAAGGTTTAAGAGTACCTGTACCTTATTTGAGTGGTTATAGCACTGTATGATGGCTCAAAAACTGCTGTGAGAATAACTGGTGAGGAAAATGAGAAATCTGAGGAGAAAATAGGTGTTCATCAGGGGCCCATCTTCAGCCCCCTTTCAAATACCCTGGTGCTGTAGGCAATATCATAGCACTTTAGGACTGGGCAGTCCTGGAAATTGTAGTTGGTTGAAGCCTTAGTGCTGATGGCAGATAGTACTGAAGAGGCAGTACTCTTGCACTGAATGAGTACTAATTGAGGTAAACACAGTCACCATTAACTGGAGAATAAACCTCTTTATTTTTCCCAATTATCATATTACTGTATTATTAAAAACTCACCAATACAGTACATGTGGGTGTCATCTAATGATAAAAAGAAAGTCTTTCTAGACACCAAATATAAATAAATTATACAAAAAATACTAACCTGCCATCCTGCACAGTAGTTAAATTTTCTCTTTGTGAGGAGTGTGTCGTGGAGCTCAAAAGTGTACCATACTCTCGGGAAATGGAAGGCTCTACTCCAGTTTCTGCAAATCTTAAAAGACAAATACAGTATTATTAATCAGTACAGTATCAAAGTCACATCTGTGTGGTCTGTTAGATTCCAAAATTTTACTGAAAACAAGAGGGTTACCCTTCTTACACTTCCAGCTTGCAGTACTTCCCAATGTGAGTATTCAAGATAACCCTTCCCATGTCTGGTACAGGTTGCCCACCGATTTTCAGGCACCCTCGGAACCAGAGCCAATCTGGATCAACAGTAGAATTTCAAAGTATGCGTATCCAGAGTATGTGACCCTGCTTATAACCGGTTGACTCCCTGACCCACCCTTATGCATGGGTCTCACTCTTGTGCGAGCCAACCCGCCCAGCATCTCTCGTTAGCTCAGCGTGTTTATCGTTTACCTGTGTCCTCGTTTGAGGAAAAATAAAAATAAAATCATTACAATACTCTAATGTGGCTTAGAAATAAAGAAAATACTGTTTAATATAAACCTACAAAATTATAAAATGAAGAGCATGGTTGTGTATTTGTGGAAGTGACGTTTGTGTGTGGAGGCAGTAAGCTGTAACTGCTTTGCTCCCTCCAGAAGAGCTATTTTTGGTACATAAAATAATATAGTATATACTGTACCATTACATGTGAAAAATATATGGTAAATAATAATAAATAAAAGAAAAGATAAAATATTGCATTGCCATTAGGCAATAACAGGAAAATACTTTCACAAATAATCAGAAAAAAATTTATTAAAAATGTGACAGTATACCCTCAAGTCCGTACTTTCTTAAATAAAGCACGGACCTATATGATGATTGGGAAGGCCCAAGTGGTACAGACAAGTGTACTATGGTGAATCAGAGTGACTATGTCTGAAGGTTATGGTATTTACGTCTGTGTACAAGTAGTAAACATAGCTACCTCAGGTATCAGAGGAAAATATACGAAAACAATGATCTGGGAAAAGGATAAATGTATCAGGCATATGTGAAGTGTTGGGATTGACCCATAAGCTATAGTCCAAGAAAAACATCTTATGTACCTCGGTGCGAGCTGAAAACACACCGTTACCCCATGTGACAAATAGCCACGAACAGTGTAATGATTCGAGAATCTTATGAACGTGTTAAACAAATGAAAAGTGTGGGGGAATGAACCATACAGAGGGAGTAAAGTGAAGTGGATATACCCAAGCAAAGAACCAAGGCTTTTGTTCGCACTGGCGCCTAAACCACCTGCGGCTACAGTTTCGAGGGGTACATGCCTGTGAGCGGTGACGAGTATGGAGAGGGACAAGCAGAGGTCGGAGGGAATGCTTGACCTAGCAACAACTGTTTTACTTTGAGGAACCCACCTGGTGTTGTGGGTAATGCTTATGGCTGCTATGCAACCTCCACTATGGATCTCTGGATATCTCACACTTTAGCACCCTGGATGTGAAGAGATGTTGGTGTTACTTGAGGTGCTCACGGTCGCTACTTTAAACGACCTAATGATACCGGACGCAGAAATAGTCCTGGTATGAATGTCTGGGAAGGATCTCATCTACCTAACAATAGTCGAGTGTGAGACGGGTACCTACTGTGTGTACCTTGGTGCTAAGAATGAGCTACAGTACCTGTATGTATTGTGTGTATTAATGAATGTTCCTTATTCAGGTGCTGTTGAGTATTTTGGTGATATTGAAGAAGGAGTGACCTAGGTAAGGAGGTCAATTATTTTGCATGGAGAGAACACCTTAATTAATTATGTGGAGAAGGTCGGGTATTTTTGTGTGTGGTGTAATGACCTTAATAGTTGCTTGGAGAAGGTCAGCTATATTTGTATTGTGACTGAATGCAATTTTTTTAATAACTAAAATAAAGTATCATAAGGATACTGGTTGGCATTTCATCTTTTCTTCTACTCTCAACTTGATTAATGAAAAACAGCTACCTAAAGAACACCACACATACTGTCCTGAGGTCTGGTGGCAGCGACCTTAGGTTAAGAAATAAGATAAGAAAACCCTAGGATTAAGTGACCGCAATAAAGGGCAGTATAACATAACTAAAAGACTATAACAGCACAACTACAATATTATAATACCTCCACAACAATATCTATAACACACACACAATAAATAATGTTCCACCCAGATATACTGTTTATAAGTGTGAAGGAGAAACCACAGGCGGTCTTTAACACCCTCACTAAATTAAATATTGTTTATACTGTATATTTGCTTCTGCTTCCGCACTCAATCAGAACAAGTCCAAACTGTAAAAATGTATGACACTCGTCATACTCAATCAAAACAAGTCCGATCCCCTGAGATGTAGGATAATCATGGTACTAGATCCTTGGGGGACGTATGTACTGGGGAGGTTAGCCAAAATGGGCAAAAGGTACAGATTGGGGATGAGGGCCATTATGTGGGGAAAAAAATATCCCTTTTGTGGCGGTTCCTCAAGTACCAGTATGCGTTCATTACCTTCTGGTCCTTGGTGTAGAGTTTGGTGCACTGTTTTTCCTCAGTAAATTCAATGAACATGTAGAAGAGGAATAATACAGGTGTGAAATGAGGAATATTTAATTGGTTGTTGAGAATAACAATAAATATTGGATGCACAATTTATTTAACAAGTTGCTTGCCAGGATGTCTTTCAGCGGGTATCGGCTGACCGTTCCTGAGTCACAACTAGGGTCGTGTGAATTTAAACTAATTGCTCACCACATCCTAAATGAATATATTGGCTGGTGATATAGCTGTATTTTTATGTTGACAAAAACAAAAATGTGTGAAAAAAAAGTAAAAATTCCAACTTTGAGAATGATTTTGCAAGGGGAACATTTTCTGGAAAATTACGAGAAAATTTTCACAGTACTCTACCTGGGAAATTCCAGGGATGGTTTTTTTTCCAGGTTTGAGATGAAAATGAGGCGCTTTTTCCTGAAATTCCAAGAACATTTTTCCAATACCCGTCGCCGAGTTGAGCATTCAATGCAGCAGTGCCACGCCCCAAGTCACAAAATCTGCCACAGTTGGAGAGTATCTAATAATATTAATTATGATTATTTTTGAGCCAATCTTTCAAGTTAACCTTAACCATGAGAGGAAAATGTTCTCCAAATACTCCTGCAATTAAACTTGTCATGGTGTATGCATTCATGGTTATATATCTGCTTTCAATTAATTGTCTATCTATGCATTTTAGTTTTGTTATGGATTAAATTATTTATATTTTGTCTCTTATATTCAGCTAAACGAGTTTAAAGTTAGGTTAAGGTGTCTGAAAATTTGGTCATGGATTGCATACCCTGACTATAACCACAGTACACGTATGGGAAAAACTTGTCTTAGTTATGTCAGGTCCATTTACACTGCATTCTCTAGAAACATATCCCTGATATTAATCGGTTACTTGCTATACAGTATTTCTGTTTCTTACAATCAGTACAGGTACAGTACTGTACAGTACTTTTGATATTAAATTTCTTACTGGAATTCATTCAGTAGTACTGAATATCACTTATACCTCATAAATCTTTCTGTGATAGCAAATCACCAAATAAAATTCTTACATATCCCAATAGTAAAGGATGACTCACCATCGAAGCATTGTAACGTTCATCTAGAGTCAGGTGTTGAAAGACTCTCTCCAAGAGCAGGTCTGGAAGCAAGTTCCACTCACTGTATACATGATTTGGATCCACCACTTCTTTTTTGTACAGCTGCTTCCCATGTGAGACCAACTCACCCATCTCTGTGATAAAGTAATCCTTCACTTTATATTCATGATATCATCTAATATTCAAATTCATCAGGACCACCTGCAGTGATCCCAAGCATCTTACATATCTAACTGCATAGTTAGTAGATATGGAATACTATACTGTAGTGTTCTATTTCTACCACTTCATCATGTCTAATTACCGGTAGCTTTTATCATTTCAGGTCTGATATAATATCTACTGTAGTAGAACAAAGTACTGTATCTTTAATGCTTAAACTATGAGTAAATTTAACAATTTCTATCAAGTGAACGAATTTATAAATGAAATAATGATATGGACATCATCCTAAACTCTTGAAGTTGAAGATACTGTAAAGTAATCTAAACTGCAAAGCAGCTAATTTTCATGCCAAATCATAAAATTCCTTCTCCATAATAGCTTCTGCATATGAAGTAGAATATATCATACAGTAATCTCCTAATTAGCCAGAATAATTGGTGCAGAGCATTTCTGAGTTTAAGAGGTTTCCGGGTATGGAAACAAATTTTCTCATCCCTGGAAAATTTTTCTGAATACAAGGGAAAGTTTTCCAAGAGTCTTTTTGGCTGATCATATGCTGGTACAGTACAGAACTGCACAACACAGATTGTGTGCAAAAAGAACAGTGACTGAGCGAATGAGCTTGTACAAAGGCAGCAGAAAATAAACTAAGATTGTCATGATACAAGAGTTTGAGGAGATAGGCTGTAAAGTACATCAGCCAGTCATAAGCATCCTATGCAGTCACATGAGAATAGTAGCCAATCATAGCTCACAAGCACTCTGAGCCTACCCATACTTTTACTTTTTTACTCTTATCCTCTTCACCACTGATCGGCTCGTTAGACGCTTGGGCGATCGGTCATGTCTCTGATTACTTTTCCTTTATCCTCTTCACCAAAATATCGGCTCGCTAGCCGCCCGGGCGATCGGTCACATCTCTGTCACGCACTGTTGGACTTAGAGAGGTTTGACAAAGAGGCCCTGCAAGCCTCTGTGGTGGATAGTGATACAATTGATACAAGTGATACAGGTGAGGGCCAATAATCTGCCCTCTGCCTCGGAACCAACCCCCCATCCCCGTGTGCCCAGCCATCTTTTCTACTAATGTAAGTGTTAAAAAACCTAATATTATTGATATTTCTCTTAATTATTAATTGTGTGTGCATACCATCATAAAATTAAGTTATTTTTACTACAACGTAGGTATGGTGTCTGAAAAAGTGGAGTTTGGGGTCGGCCCGGTCTCTATTTCAATTAGTCCCATATGTTATGTTGTTCACTTTGTCGTTTCACTTTCATGACCCTGTGGTTGAATTAACCGCGTAAAGTGAGGGTTCACTATGTATGTGTGTGTGTATATATATATATATATATATATATATATATATATATATATATATATATATATATATATATATATATATATATATATATATATATATATATATATATATATATATATATATATATATATATATATATATATATATATAGTCAGATTCATGTGGGTAATGTCACTGTTTACTGCCATGCAGGACAGAGGTTCGTACACAAAGAAAGAAAGAAATACATCATATTCATTAGCATTATATATAGGTCAGTGGTTCACATACATTGGACATCATATTCTAATTGAAGACAAATCAGTGTGGGCTAGCAAATTTGGGATAAACAGCAAGAATGTCCTCAAGCACCCCCGATTCAATGTAGTAATTACAAAGGTCAACCACGGAAAAAATCAGAGAGGGAGACGTAGACAAAGAAACAACTGTATAACGACACAATTCCTACAATATGTAATGGTCCGATCACAGAAGTCCAATCTGGCTCTTGAAGGCACCTATCCTAACCTAACCTAACGTCAGCGTTATATTTATATTTATTATGCATTTATAAAAAAAAAACCGAATAAATAAGATATAAATTTATAATACACCATACACATTTTTGGAAAAAATTGAATATTTTTTTAAAGACACCAGACTAAACGTGACGTAATCGACACAAGTCAGAAACAAGGATTTGGGGGAGGCGCAAAGAGTCACTCAACGAAAGAAATGCCATTTGCTGCTTACAATATTCATAAGTCTTGGAATGACAATGATATTGCTCGATAATGGCTTGTAAAGTATTAGGCATATGCTACAGTCCTAATTCACACCATCAGACAGATGGTTCGTAAGATTAATTACCATCACCTTCAATTGAACAACGTCATTATTAAATACAGACACAGACTGACACACACATACACACACACTCCACATGCGCACAAGCACACACAGGGAAGTAAAACAGCAGTTTGTGTTGCAAGAAATCAGCATCTTTAGAAAGAAGTTTTGTTTAGCATCGGTTAGATACAATTGGATTAATTACCATAAAGGGATTAAACATTTGAAGACAATATTAGTATAAATTAATGATAAACAGGCAACCTCATAAACAGCCTGCACACAGCTGTGCCCAATGCATGATGTTCTTTAACATATTTACCGATTTTTACTTATGTTTATTTGTCTAAATATAAATTCATATAGGTTGGCTCATTGCTCTATCCATTTTAAAATCAAATTAACAGTATATACTAGCAGAAAGGCATAATATAATGCGAAACAACAAAGCCCAACCATTAATTAAGCAACGGGGAACTAAGTAACCAATCACTGATCACTTTTGCATTCATTCATAATTTTATACTACGTAGTATAGTAAACAAACTGCCTTCAGTTGCCAGCTGTCTCCGGCAGTGTTCGAAGAATCTTGAACGTGACTGTACCTGTATACAAGTACTATACCAATATGTCTTTCCTCAGTAAGTACTGTACTACAAAGCCAAATTCTTGATTCTCACTTCTTTCTTCATTCCTTAAAGTGTATATTACAGCTCTCAAAAAAAATCATAATAATTACAGTATACTGTACTTGTATACTGCATAGACTTTAATATACCACCAATAAGCAAAAGCAAGAATTTTGGTACTCCTCCAAATATAAAATATTTGAAATTTTTTTTGTGCAATTACCTTTACTGTGCAGTACTAACCTTAAGTGAAAACTATTTTCAAATATTTGTTCATACTTTAATACCAAGAATATAAGAGATTAATGAACTTATCTGTTTAAATCATTATGAAGGACACATTTTTATCACTCTTCTATCCAGTTAAGATAAAGAGAGTCAAAATCTCAGGTTATAAATGAAGAGTCATGAATGGTCAATTATAGCATGAACCATTTTCACTACTTTCTAATGGAATATAAAAGTAACTTAAGATTTATGCACCCAGTCATCATCTCATGATGACACAACTAATCTATGATTAATTTTCAGAAAACCTGTACTGTACGTATATAAAATTAAATCAAAATGCATTCTACTAAATTATTTATCCTTTAGCCACTCCATCTAGTAGCAGCTCACCTTGGGAATGGATGGCTATGGCTTGTTGAAACTCTCTAAAATGGGTAGACAGAGGCAGATGTTGCAAAAGAACTTGCCAACACCTTCAAGCTACCCATAACTCAAATCCAGGACTATTTGCTCTTTTTTTTATACCGTATAAGAATTATCTTAGAATATCTTATACTAAGGTCAAATCTTTAAGTTGCTCCATTCATCAGCCATAAAATAAGTTAACACTTAATTTCAATATCAGTGAATCATAAGTTAATGGTGGTGAGCAGGTGTATCAGTGGGGTACATGGAGATATAAAACCATGAAGATACTGTATTTAAATACAGTACTGTATTGGTAAAAGTACAAAGATAAAATTAGTATTTTACCTTGACACAGTATACATTAAAGGAAAACTCTATTGAATAATATCCTTTAGAATACCAATTAATTACAGTACAATACATGAAACTTTTCATTTTCAGATCTCTACAAGCCTCCCAACATATGTTGGATCTCTCAATGTTACAGGCTTCCTTAAGAAACTGTACAACAAGAACAAACATTCCACAATGGGAGGGTAATCAAACTACAAATATCAATCTGACAACGGTAAAAATAATCCAATTATTTAAATCATTCTGGATGGGGAGGAAAATCATATCTGAAAATCTCATTCTCTAAGGGCAGTCAATCAAACCCAAAAATGCTTTCCTCATAGGCAAAAAGAATAAAGTTGGAACATGACAGGGATAAGATTATGACACAATAAGACATTCTGGAACAAAAACATTATCAACCTGGAAAGTTTCATTCTGGAAAAGTTAACAACAAAACTCTGAAACAAATCTCAAAAGCGATGAGGTAACAAAACCAACTTAAATATTCAGAAAGGGAGGTCAACTAGGAAAGGAAAATTACTATACAATCAGCAATCCATTGGAAAGTAAAGACCATTTAGAATGGAAGGGATATCATGGGGGCAAACAGTTACAATACAGGTACTGTATACTGTATAGAATTCTTAGGTTTTATGATACTGTAATACTGTACTCAACTGTGACCACAACCACAGCATAGATTTTAATCATCAGATAATCTGGAAACCATTTTTGGGAAACTGGTGAAAATGTAACTCACTGTAATCACTTTGTAAATTTTCCCATCATATTCAGTATAGCATGTCACTAATTTACATCAGTTTTATTCTCATCATTTCAATAAAATGTTGTTAACATATGACTTTTTTATGAACTGTACCAGTAAGTTGTGCCTGATATAATGTCGTTTCTGCTGTGATGAGCACCTCCAAAATGTGTGTGTGCCAGATTCAACGTCGTGTAGAAAATCACTGCCAACTGAGCATTCAAAGTGGCAGCACCATGCCACTGAATCCACTTAAGCTGCACATATTTGGCCAGTCTGGGAGTACCAAGTGACATTCACTGTGCAGTACTGTAATTATTTTACGTAATCTCGGTTAAATTTTGGTGAATGCCCATAAATCTGGGTTCATTTAATTGTCTACAGTACTTATATACGGATTTCAATTTAGTTCTGTATTAATTTGTTTAATTTTGTTTCTCTAATCTTTAGTTAGGTGAAGTTTAAATTGGGTTAAGGTGTTTGTAAACATGCCCTAATTACATAGTCCCATTTACATTGCATTCTCAAGGAACACATCATCGATGTAAATCGGGAACTTGATATATTCATGTTCTCAACCACTATACTGTAGTGCAGTACAGTATTAATATTTAAGTAAAATTTTTAAAACAACTTCATATGCTATGGAATTACAGTACAATATAGTATATAACAATAATGAATGCATAAAAAGAGCAAAACTAATACAAGTCAGTGTACACACTTCATCACAATTCTCGTGGAACAAAGTGGCCTCAACACTTGCCTTAGCAATGTAGCAGCATTCCTAACATCTGTACTCTGCACAGCAGACCCTCTGACCTCCACAAAATCACCAAACGGCTTCACGGTAGAAACCTGCTGATACTTAAAACTTTTTACCTTATGTTTGTTTTTGTTTTTTTGTTTTTCGGCAGGGGGCACATTCTGTATATAGGATTGTGTGTGTGTGTGTGAATGTAACCGAGTAAAAAAATAAAGAAAATTACGTATATCTACTCAAAATTGCAAGTTGAAAAATAGCCATAACATAACATATAGTGCACAGGATAAAGGAGCATGTAACAAGTGTGGTGATGAATAGAAATGAGCATAATGAGTGATAATGGTTGTTTATTGCTCAAGTTTTTCAATAACTTTTAACTTTTCTGTTTTTCTTAATTACATTCAGTATTACAGTTTTTCCAGTTAGTATTCATGCAGTGACGAATTATCGGACAGCACTTCAGGGATAACAGATATCTATCTGTTATCTTGAGGGCTTGTCCGATAGGTTTAGGGTGTCTGTTATAACTAGGTTCCGTTATATACAGCATCCATTATACCAAGGGTTTTCTGTACGCGCATTACTGCTGTACCACCAATACCCCTCCATTGAAGTGTTTACAAACTTCTATCAAATCAACCCACTACATTTCACAGTATAAACTAGGCAATTAAAATACTCTAATCTCTCTTGGTAAATGAGGTTCCAAGTGCTACCACCAATTTGCTGGCCCTCCTTTGAATGTTCTCAACAATCAGCAGTCATTTGTATATCTCATGGGACAGTACCTGTACTGTACTTCAAATGGGGGAGCACCATACTTGAAAAACCTTATGAGAACTTCAGTTCATTATCGGATCATTGTGAGAAGGCAAATTGTGATAAGCGACTACAGTACCGGTAGTTGGATTTAAACGAAATTCTTACACATACAGTACTTAAGTGGTCTTAGGTATGTGGAAGATTTTCATACACGTTTGTTACCAAAAACAATATTAGTAGGAGTATTGCTGTTCCAACTTACCAATGACGGTTGACGACATGCAACAATCACAACAGAACATCTAAAAAAAATATTTACATACCGTTTGGTTTCCATAACTGTATTTTAGGAAGAACATCACAGCCTTGTAACTTTTTTATTGTAGCCATTCTTGATAAATGTAACAACTACAAAAAGGACATAATAGTGTTATTAAGTAAAAGCAGTTACAAAACTAATCTAAAACACATATGCAATAGTAATACAGTCCTTCAAAATTCTTAAATTTAGAGAGTAAGAGTCAATTCGAATACCCTGTACTGTTATATAAGCTTTTAGTCTAAGCAACTAGCAACTTAATAGTCAGCTAAATACAATACAAGCACTTAAATATATACTGTCAGCTGAAGGCAATTAAAATGATATTCACAGCTGCATTTAAAGTTGACAAAACTTTACTGACATGCATTCTATGATAGTAAGCATTTTGTAAACACAACCATTGGTGAAATAATAGTTATTGCAAGTTTACAAATTATAATGGTAAAATAATTTAATTTCAATTCACTGTAAGTCATCAAAAGTCTCTTTTTCTAGGACACACTTTGGTTAAACAATAAATTATATCCTGGAAATGTGCATGATGCAAATATTTGGTCTTATTAAAAATACATCACAGTATAGGATGTAAAGGTTGATAAGGAATAAATTGTGTTTCCCTTTGTTCTAAATAATTAATAATAAGAAAATCCAAAAGTCAAGGGTTTTGTATTAATATAACATCCAGCAAAAAGAAAATATCACTGAAAGAAAAAGCTCCAACTCTCATTATGCACAATATCCTACACTGTACATTTAGCTAATACTGTAATGTAATACTGTACCTTTCAATATTCTATTGTTTTCTATTCAACTGAAAATTCTAGTCATACTTTTTTTTTTACATACTGCACTACTGTAAACTGTTACTAATGCCCATCATGCAATTTCTGCAGCACATACTGTATTTTTAACTAGTGTACAGTCGAGGTGAAAAGTAAGCTCTCTCCAAAAATGAAGCAGCATCGGCTTCAAAGGAGATAAAACAGCACAACCAGGCCAGACGACAATCAAGGTAAGTAAGTCCGGAGACTTTTTCCCGTGAATCAGTTTCACCATGGGGTTGAACGAACTTATGTCCGAACTGTACATGAAAAATTCATAGTTTAACTTTTTAAATACAGTACTTGTATTTTACAAGTTCACTTCATAATGGAAAATCTTGTATTTCACTCCTGTGTGGAAACTTGCCTTTACATTCAAACATAACATATTCAAACGGATCAAATTCTGAAACCAGACTTGTTGCTGAGGTAGCTACAACAATAATACAGTATATGACTATTTTTAACAGAACTTTACCCTCTTAAATTTAGGAGAATCCATACTGGTGGCTGAAACAGTTTGTTTGTCACTTCATCAAGACACTGGACTTAACTTTTAAGAAGATACTGTACCATAATCCAACTGCCAAATCAAGCTGTGCCAAGGTATACATAAACCACAAATAATTAAGAAATCATTTCTCCTCTCAATAGCCATTACATTCCATGCACTTCTCTAAGTAAGTTCCTACTCTCTTACATCTTTCCAGCCACACACAATGTACTTTACCTGAGTTTTTACTGTACATTGTACAGTAAAATAGACGAGTTAATTCCGGCTACGTTGACTTTTTTTTTATTATTGTCAGTGCACCAGGCAATAGTGTGGAGGAAGAAAATGGACAATTTCTGAGAACAGCACCACCACTAGGAGTTGTTCAATTTCGTTAATTTTTCCCACAGATGTTCTTATCATCATATTATGAAGTACAGTACAGTCTCTCCTCGACTTACGACGGGGTTCCATTCCGATGAACCAGGTCGTAAGTCGAACCAACGAAAATAACACATAGTACAATAATAATTGTGAAACTTTTACCTTTTTAATACACAAACTGAGCGGGATACGACATGGATGCTGTTTACAAGTGGCAGCCGAAGTTGTCGTAAGGCGTTGTTCGACTTTACGACCAAATGTCCAGACTCGAAAATAATTTAAAATATATAACGAAAATGACCGTTGTAAGTCTGAGTTGTTGTAAGTCGCATATGTAGTAAGTCGAGGCAAGACTGTACAGCATTAGTAAAATTTTAGTTTCATACAATCATGGAATCTGGAATTTTTAATACATGCAATCGATATATCTCATCATTCTGACTAACTTTCATTCTATACAATTCTGTCACAAGTGAATAATAATGAACCTAATAGAATCTAACCTAACCAACCCAAGAAACCTACCTAACCTTACCTAACTTCCTAGACAGGGGACTTTACTTATTTTCATATCTTGTACCAATGAATGCAACTTTGTTGAAGCGTTATGGTGTAATTTTATTTTTTGTGGACGTGGGAGTATGCTCGGATTGAGTGGGTTGGTTGTAAACAAAGTGAGCTATCCACCTCACGTACTGACTCGACAGATTTTTCAAGGAGTATTTACAATAAATAATTAATTTCTTCACATACAAAGCAAGTAGAGACATCATTTTAGAGTCATATGATCAGTTTGTCATGGTGTTTTACCATGCAATTTCTCTCATCTTTCATGTCCTGCCCACTACAGGTGATTTATGACCATAGTGAAAACTAACAAAATAAATATTGACATTTATTCACTTGCGACAGAAGTCTATAGAATGAAAGTTAGTCAGACTGATCAGATATATTTATTGCATGTGTTTAAAATACCATATTCCATGGTTGTAAGAAACTAAAATAATACCTAAGTATTTTAAGGGGTGAAATTTTTTTATTATATTTTTTTTCTCTATTTACGATCATAAATCACCTGTTGTGGGCAGGGTATGAAGGATGGGAGAAAATGTGGGGTAAAACACAATGGAAAACCGATCATATGACACTAAAATTATGTCTCTATGTGCTTTGTATGTTAATACATTAATTATTTACTGTAAATATTACAGTACTCCAAAAAATTTGCCGTTCTTGGTGCATGTTGTTTTCTGCTTTATTTTTTTTTACTATAAATTTTACAATTTACATATATACTGTATACCTAATATTACATATTAACACATTTGTAAGTGAAATATTTGGATGACTTTTCTTTTAAAATACACTTGATCATCCATTTATTATAATATATCCTACCTTTATTTGTTTAAAATTGACCCATTCAGTCCGAGCATAGACCCTAACTCTCACGTCCACATAAAAAAAAAACGTAAAATTACACCATGACACTTCAATAAAGATGCTTTCATTGGTATAAGATATCAAAATAAGGTATTATTTTACTTTCGGACAACACGGGAATCTTAATAATTTTATCTCTGTAAATAGTATAGCTAGTCTAAGACACCTTCCTTCTATGACGTTGGTCTCAAACTATTTATATATGCCGGGTGGGGGGGAGCCTGCCAGTTAGGTTAGGTGATTTGTGAGGGAAACGTCAGAGAAGAAAAGTGTCTTAAATAATCTAAACTATTGATTACAGAGATAAAATTCTTAAGATTCCTGTGCTGTCCGAAAGTAAAAATTTACCCAAAATAAGTACTTGTACTTTCTTTTTAATAAGGCGGGAGGTCTGCCCCCTGGCTAGAAAGTTAGATAAGGTTAGGTAGTTTTCTTTGGTTGGTTAGGTCAGGTTCTATTAGGTTCTGTGCATTGGCGTATTTTTATTACAAATAAAATATGCTTCTACAAGTTCTACTTGTAGTAAACAGATCATGGTTATGGAATTGTTAACTACCAAACTATCAGGTGTACTGTAATCTGTTATTCAATAAAAGACAGCTAGTAAATAGCTTTATGGTCAGCAGTACCCTATACTTATATTAGACATGAGATGTACCAACCAAGCTTAATGCTGTACAGTATACTAAATTCTACAGGTACCCCATTTATTTTAAGACATAACTAAGACTGCCAAAGTGTGTAAATACTGCACTTGAGATCCATGAATTTGCGCAGTTTGATATCTATTGGGTGATATTATGAAGTGATATCGTACATAAAATGAAACACACGACAGCTTACCAGAATCAAACAGCGGCACTCGATGCATTACCCAGGAAACACTTCTCACATTCCACCAAAAGATAGCTGGCACCCCGCACCTCCACCTCTGGCGGCCACTACTGAGACTGACACAGGTTCTCAGTTACTGTTAGTCTAGTCTGTTACTCAACTATCAACGTGTTGCCAACCTGTTTATACATAATGTTCATAACTACCCTGCATTAAAACCAGATTTCGTAGTTTTGTAGAAATTTTCATCGTGGTATATTCAGTGCTTCAAACAACTGAGTAAAGTCACATGTATATAACATTGGATTAGTGGAAAAGTATAATAAAGTACTAGGAAAATATTCTTTGTGGAAAGTAAATACAAATCACTTTCGATTAAATAACAATAATAATAATTGCACATAAAAGTTTACATCTGTGTGTATTATAATTTTTATATTAAATGGATTGAGAAAATCTATATGCCCGGGGCATACAGTTGTGGGGTATGGGTTCTTTGGTTCACACTCACGATGGGATGGAGAAAGGAAATTCACAATGTGCTCTCTGTATACATGTTGTATTGGATGTACAATGCAGCTTGGTGCTGGGAAGGCAGCATGGTTACAAGCGTGATGTAGAGAGAGCTGGTTGGTGAGGATGCTCAGAGGAGGACCAGCTTGTGGGTCGCCATGCTCGCTGGCGGGAGCGAGGACCGCCAGGCAGGCGGAGGAGGAGGTGTAGCTTGCTGCGGCTGTAGCTAGAAGAAGAGAGTTGGCTGGTGAGGATGCTCAGAGGAGGACAGCTTGTGGGTCGCCATGCTCGCCGGCGGGAGCGAGGACCGCCAGGCAGGCAGATGAGAAGGAGGTGTTGCTGGCTGGTTGGTGTAGGTAGAAAGAGAGAGATCACCACGAGGTCAGGTCTTAAATAGCGGGGGGTAGGCGTGGCTTAGGAGTTGACCTCCGCAATGTATGGCGGCGCTGGTTGACCCAGACCACGAAGCATACACTGGGGAATTCGCGGGGTCGGCTACGCAGCGACAAACAGCGTTTGTAGGGGAGAAATCCACTACAATACTCCCTCCTTCCCTCCAGGCGGTGTAGGAGACTTGTTGTCTGCAGGGTTGCATGGCACATGTGAGGCAGAACGGGCGGTGCATGCTTCATGTGGGACATAACGGCAGGGCGTGGATGAGCCGGCCGCTAGTGGAGACAACTGTCTAGACACACAAGATCTGTGGGAGAAGAGAGGGAGAAAGAGGGTTGTGGAGGCGATGAATGTTGTGCTTCCCTCACGGCAGGTACAGAGTCGTCAGATGCGCCTGCTCGGGGGTGTGGGCTTGGGTCAGGAGCAGGGGCTGCGTCAGCAGAAGCGGATGAGGGCTCGTGACAGCAGCTGGGTCCACGACAGCAGCAGGGTGCAGGACAGTAGCAGGGAGTACCTAAGGGAGAAAAGAGGGGTGTGTGGGTCCGCACTCAGGCGCATGGGCCGCGTCGGGAGCAGCGGCAGGGGGTACTGCTGGGCCGGGGCCAGCGTCTGAGGCAGGACGGGTGTGCTGGGGTCGGTAGAACGTGGTGCTTGGGGCAGGAAGAGGAGCTGGTGTCTGCTTAGAGAAGCAGTGCTGCTCTAGGGTGTCTAACCTGCGGTTTAGAGACAGTAGCTGTAGAGCCGATGAGAGCTGCTTCTGGGTGGATAAGCCAGTCTTCCATGTTGCTTGAAGACTGGGAGAGTGATCAGTTTCTCCTCCATCCTGTGTGAGTGCGTCACTCCGGGGTCACCATTTGTGGCTTACTAGATGTTTGGTTCGCACTCAGGATGGGATGGAGAAAGGAAACTCACAATGTGCTCTCTGTATACATGTTGTATTGGATGTACAATGCAGCTTGGTGCTGGGAAGGCAGCATGGTTACAAGCGTGATGTAGAGAGAGCTGGTTGGTGAGGAAGCTCAGAGGAGGACAGCTTGTGGGTCGCCATGCTCGCCGGCGGGAGCGAGGACCGCCAGGCAGGCGGAGGAGGAGGTGTTGCTGGCTGGCTGGTGTAGGTAGAATGAGAGAGATCACCACTAGGTCAGGTCTTAAATAGCGGGGGGTAGGCGTGGCTTAGTAGTTGACCTCCGTGATGTATGGCGGCGCTGGTTGACCCAGACCACGAGGCATACATTGGGGAATTCGTGGGGTCGGCTACGCAGGACAAACAGTGTTTGTAGGGGAGAAATCCACTACATAGTAAAGGCGTTTATCGTAAGACGTATTAGATGCACGGAATAGCTACCGCGTTAGCTATTCCGTGCATCTGATACGCCTTAAGTTACACTACCAAACATGCAGTATGCGTTTGCGTTAAATTGACCCGAAAAACCGACATCCCTATTTGCATTTGCATGCAGCGTCCTTCTGTTTGCGGGAACAAGATAGGAAAGATGGCTCCTAATGCATCGAAGCTACGAGCCTTATAATTAAGAACAGGATGATTTTCTATTAAACATCCTGCTTTTGTATAAGATCAAAGGAAAACAGACATAGATTGCTGCTGAATCGGACCAAATATGGAGCCTACAATTCTCTGGTAAAAGACCCAAGCTGAAATGAAGAAAAAATCAAAGAATATTTTCGTCTGGGCAGACATCAGTTCGCACATGTTCTTTCCCTGGCAGTGGCGTATATATATATATATTCCTGTGAAGGTGGGGGGAGGGAGGCTCTTAGTCTCAAGATAAGGCTATGCAAATGGATACAGTACTCTTTTTATTTTTCATTCACGTTTTTTTTAGCAAGCATAATTTATTTACATAACAATAAAATAAACAGATATACAGTCGGTTTATTTTGCAGTTGCATTTTTTTACACTTATAAAACAAATTATAGTGTACAGGCAATTGCATTCATAGAACATAAAGTTCCTAAGCAAAATATACACGTTACAAGAAAACAACAATCCTCTTCAAGGATTGTTGCAAAATTAAGTACTTGGCAATGGAGCAGATAGACAGATAGATAGATAGATAGATAGATAGCTTACTTGTGAAGAGAGGGAACAGTACTAGCTTACTTGTGATGAGAGAGTCAGAGAGAGATAGAGAGACAGAGGGAGTATTAGCTTACTTGTGATGAGAGAGAGAGAGATAAAAAGAGAGAGAGTACTAGCTTACTTGTGAAGAGAGAGAACAGTACTAGCTTACTTGTGGAGAGAGAAAGAGAGTACTAGCTTACTTTTGGAGAGAGAGAGAGAGAGAACATAGTATCTTTTATCCTCTTCACCACTGATCGGTCAACTTGTAGTGGATACTCTCCCCTGCAACTGCCACGACGAAGTTCCCCTGACAAGCCTAGCCGCCTAGAGTCCGCCAAATTTCTCTGACAAGCATCGGCGTCTAGACACGCGCCAAGTCTAGACATCTAGACAAAGGTGGGGGGGTCGACACCGGCGACGCGTACTTCGTTCCACGTCACTCGACAATTTAGATCTCATCCCTGCACCCCAGAATTTCAATCTCATATAAGTAACCAAGAACAAACTAAACAACATGATCACCATTATGCAATTCAACTGTAGAGCATATCATTCAAACAGACACGCCATCTCTCTCCTCCTACAGTACAAGAGCACAACCCAGACATTCTCCTCAACTCAATATACACAAACACCAAAATCAAGCACTTCGGCTACACAAGCAGACAATCACCCCACGAACTACACGAGGGCGTTGCAATCCTCATCAGATCCTCCATCAAACACTAATTCATCACCGACTTTGCCTTCAAACACTTCATGGCCGCCAAGATCGACACTCAACACGGACA